TCTTTCTGTTCACTTCATTCCCCTTCAGTTTGTGGCTCAGGATGTAGCCTGGCTCTCTGCACAACTGGATGTGACACACCTTCAGGTCATCCAGCACTCTATGAAACCCTAATCTCCTGTTCAAGACTGGTCCATGACTTCGGTAGTGTCACAATGAAATGGTTTGCATTTATAAAGCACCTTTCTACCTCAGAGGTACTCAAAGCGCTTTACAATGTTTTCTCATTTACCCACTGGTGATGACAGAGCTTCCATACAATGTGCTGCCTGCCACCATGAGCAAATTGAGATTCAAGGACCCCCAACATTACAATTACAGGACAACCCGCTCCATCACCTGAGTCACAACCGCCCCTCTGAATCTCTGAGTATAATTCTTAGGTGCTTCCTGTTTGCAACTCTTCTGATCCATTATGCTTCCATGTGCAGATCCTCCTGTGTGCCTTGTTGCCAACTTCTGATTCACCTCACTGTGCTCCAGCGTTTCAAGCACTCAAATCTTCATTTCCATTTCGAACTGTTGGCGCCACCAACTGCTGATCATGTCCAGCCAGCCCTCAGCTTCCACTGCTCTCCTTCAAAGACTGCTTTTGTTTATAAATGGACTTTTTATGATATATTCACTATTCACCTGACAATGACCTGCTTAATGACATATCTATGTCTTAGCCCTTCAGTCACAGACAGTATTCTATATAAGCCACTGTTAGCAAGGGCATCTGTTTTGGGAGAATGTGTACATACATTCAGTAAGAAGATCAGCGTTCAGATGTGTGCTGTGCCTGCAACAGCTGACCGAATAAACTAGAAAAACACATTAGGAAACCCATTGTTCAGAGCAGTCTGAAGCCGGAGTTTTTTCTTACAGGAATCTTTAATATATGCTCCCCTTATAATTAAAACATAATTTATGTTCAACATGAACATCCATCATTGGAACATTATATGTGTGACAGAAACTAAGGGAAAGCACAGGAAAGCAGAGAGGCAATTAGCGTTCTCTTTTGCCCTAGAGGCAACAGCTTGTTTTAGTTTCAAACCTTTGAGAGGAAGAGTGTCTGAAATGTTTCTCTTGAGCAAAGCAATACTATAATAAAACCTGTTGTAACAAAATGACTCACTCCTTATCTAATGCTAAATCATTTACCTGTAAGAGGGAGTCAGTGAAGACCGTCTGTCCGTCTCGGTGCAGCAGTAAGCTGTTTTTGCTGTAAGAAAATGAAACTGGACTCTGAACGTGGCGCTGCTCTTTCTGCTGCTCTCTTCTTCCTCAACAACGACTTCCTCTCCAACAGTAAAAGTCCCTCCCCACTCTGGGTGTAGTTTCTGCTCCTGTTGTGACACGTCTCAGATTTGTTTATTACAGCTTGCCTGAAACAGAAGCATAACTCAGTGCAGGGGGTGGAGGTGCAGAGGAGATGAGGCCTGGAGGCTTCCTGACAAACTGCTTTGTTGATAATCTGTGTGCTACCAATGTATTACTGTCACTGCATCAGATGAAAAACACACAAACACACTTGGCAAACTAGATAATCTACATAAAGCTGTTTGAGTGTTAAGCAATGAAACAGTAGATTTGCAGTTCAGTTGCCTCCAAAGTGCTTGACAACAACTGTTCATGGAATCAGCTGGTTTCTGTTACAACTGTGGGGAAAGTTTTCTCCGTGTTTCAGACAGAAAAGCTGTCAGTTCCTTGATGAGGTGACATCGTTTTTCTCTCTCTCTACGTGCTACATGGCAATTAGGTTCAGGTTCTGGGATTGTCATTCCATATCTTTGATTTTTTTCTGGGGAAAACTGTTTTTCAACATTCAGCTGATATGTTTTAAATCGTTCCCATGCTGAGGCAACCAATAACTCATTAATTACCAGCGGACATGGACCTGACCGTCACAGACAGAGTGAAGTCAGAAATCCACAATCAATCATGCAACGTCAAGAAATGAACAATTCATCCAAATCACATGAGACAGGATTCTCCCCTCTTATGCTGAGCAGTTTTGAAACATGCAGATAACTGCAGTTTTACATTTGACAAATCTGCCTCTGAATCTAGAGCCACTCACACAGCACCATGGAAAAGGTCAGGATGTATTTTGGGCTTTACCACAGCTGGCAAGATGCTTCTAGAAATACAGTATGTTCCAGTTCCTGAGAAATGTCTACCAACCACACTATGGGCAGTGTTTCCTGCGTCTGTGCTGAGATGAGTCGAATCAAAGTGACTGCACTGAGCTAATGTTATGTGAGCTTAAGTATGGATAGAGTTTCCTACAGTGCTGTAATGCTGAGCTCAGCTTTCAGGAGACAGTGCATTAATAATCAATGTTGATGGTATTATAATGCTACTGACAACATGATGTCTCCACCCTTAGAGAGGAATGAATGCTCATTCAGCAGGAAAGGTAGTTCAGAGTAGTTATTCCATATCACTGAACATTTTAAGGCCAAATATTTCCCTGTCTGTGTGTGCAGGTATGTGGCCAAAAGAGACAGAATAGATCATCTCCAGTTGTCTAAATGTCCTTTTCTACGATAACAGACAGCTGGATACACAAGGTGAAAGAAGGTGAGACTCGACCTTTTGGTCCTGGGGTAGACTGAAATGTTACAACAAGCTACAGAGGACAATGATTTTGATCGTGTCCTAGCAGTTGAGGGAAAACCTATTTCCTTAAAAGTGTTGAGACATATTTTATAAATGTGTCTCTTGGCAGAGTTGACCAGTTTTGCTGGCATTGAACAGAATGCCATGTTTTTTTGATCCGTGGACTCAGCCTCAACCCAAAGCTTCCTGCTTACTATTCAGAAAGGTGTGTATGGAGTCAACTGAAACAGTGTCACATTGTTCTTCTAAGTACCACATCTCTGTGATCTTAGTTGCTCTGTACACCTGCAAGGACCCTCTTGATTATTGGCTTTAGCAATAAGAGGGTAAACAGCAACTGACTTTGAGATTTCTTATAAAGTAGGACTTGTAAGGCCCACTAGGTGGTTTTGATCAAACAGAAGTGTTTTTGAGGTTCATAATAGTCCTTGTAGATGATTGCAGGGTGAGCCAGAGGGGTGAGCTCTGCTGAGGTTGACATATGGATGCTGAGAAGTGACATCTACGTTCTACACACTGTTCTTCAGAATGAATGGTGCTTTCCTATCACTGTAAAGAGCTGACATGATGCACAAGCTGAACCAGCACGAAACATGATTTGTGATTTAGTCGATTGACCAAGGCTGTAAAGATGAGCACTGATTCGTTCAGGAAAGCAACGCAGCAGATGTCATGTATAATGGATGTCTTCAAATGACCAACAAATTAACAGTTAATAATAGAGGTAGTATTTTTACTTATTTGGATGGCTTTAGTAATAATTACACAAAACAGACATTGTGAAGGTATCACTTCGGACTGCAGGTAACTTTGATTGGTATTTCCTACTGCTTACTGAAGTTTTACGTAGCATTAACTTAAGTTATTTTTAAAAATCATTTATCAATGTATGTATTGTAAATATTTTTGGTGTTATTTTCATTCACATTTCTTTTATATACAAAACACTGTAAAATAGCGTTTTGGCAGTGAAAAAGCAACACTGATTAAATAGTAGCGTTTATTCATATGTTTTGTAATAAAGCACAAACACCCAAATACAAAACCAGAAAGACGAGGAGCCACCACCTTTCAGCTTAACTTGTGTCTGCACTTCAGCACACACCCACAGACTCTGAGCCTGTCAGCATCGGGGCTTCTCGTCCTCGCTGGACGTCTTACTGACGAAGAGGCTTTTGAGGAAGAGGAGCTGCAGGTAGCCAGAGGTGATGATGAGCAGGCTGAGGGCTGTCGACCACCACGTGATGTACTGTGAGTTGGACTGCAGCAGGAAGAAGTCAACGCTCTTCCTCATGCGGCCAAAGCTGTAGTAGCGGAACATGTGGAAGACGTTGCTCTCCACCTTGTGGGTCGCACCCTGCCACAGTACAACACACAACCAGCTCAGACATTACAAATGTTACTGCCACTCTTTTTTATCACGACAGATACTGTCACAGATATTACTGCTACACACTCTAACAGTTTACGTCTGCCATTACTGATCACACTGTTCTGCCTACTATGAATGGGTCATTTCATATCAAATCCCCCATATCTTAAAATCGTTCCCAGCTTTTTTAAAATGTGCAATAACTTTATATTTAATAGAGTCATTATTATTATTTTCAATGATCAGAAACCAGAAACACATCCAGGGAACCAATGACTGTTTCTATGACTCTATGTCATAGATATCACAGACATCCATGTGTCTGTCTCCTGTACTTAGGAAGTTATGACGGCTCAAAAATGACAGAAAAAATAATGGGAATTTTTGTAAGCGCAAAATTTCGACCCACCTCTATGTGCTTTAATAAACTGTGACTTGGATGAATGCAATGGTCTTACTGCTGCAATAGGTATGCATGTTTTTACGTATGTCTATGTTTATGTTTTAGATAAGACTGAGACCGGTTTAATTTATGTTTAGCTTGATTCTGTGCCTAGCTGTGTACTTCATGTTTTATTTTTGTGTTGTCTGTAGTTGTACAAAGCTTTACAATGTGTCCAAAACTCCCTTCAGGGACAATAAAGTATATCATAAAGTATATCATATCTCATCTCATCTCACCTCACCTCACCTCACCTCACCTCACCTCACCTCATCTCATCTCATCTTATCTTGTCCTTCAGATGTGGATGTAAATTTTAACTGGACTGCTTACCAGAGGAAAAATAACAGGAGGTTGGTAATTCCAATTAATTTGTTATTCAAACCTTCTGTATGTAAAATGTGGAATATTAACTTGAACGTCATAGTTACTATTACAATTGCCATTAGCTTTGGAAAAATCTACTGGAACTACAGTTACAACATGAGTAGGAAGCAGCGTGTACCTCCATAAAGCTCAGTGTGTTGTTCAGGTCTTTGCTGATTTCCTCCTTCTTCTTCTTCTTCTCATTCTCCTCACTCATGGAGGGGTCTTGATTGTTGTCATAGTAAACACCAAAGCTGAGGAAGACCTGCATGGTGCCGAAGCGGTTGTGGAAGTTGTTGAAACACATCTGATAAAAACCTGGAAGGACATAGCACATCAAAACATACAGTGCCAGTCAATCGTTTGGACACACCTTGAGGATTTTTGTATTTGTACTATTTTCTACAGCGTAGAGCAACATTGATGACATCAGAGCTATGAATTAACACATTTGGATTTATGTATCAAGCAAAACAAAAAATAATAGATTCTTAAATGTAGCCAGTGGCCACCATTGTTTTTAATACTAGCTTTGCAACCTCTGTTGATTATCCCAACCAGCTTTATGAGGATGTCCAAAACCCTCTTGCCAGTGGTCGCCAGTGGTCGCCAGCAGCACCACCATTACGGCCATGCAGTCCACCTGAGGTGCTGGAGACTGTTGGTTTCGGAGGCTGACAGTGAAGTTCTCCTCTGCAGCAGAGCCAGTTCATTACATTTTGTTGTCCCTCTTTACTTCAGTGAGCAGTTATGCTAGAAAATGGATTACTACAGTAGCTGAAGAGGGTGTTTTGCTGAGCACCAGAACTACTGTGTAATGTGAAAGCTCTAGAGCACATAAGAAGGCACTAAGACAAGACAAAAAATACACTACACAAACAGGAGTTAAAAAAGACAAAAAATGGTGAAGTGGAATTAAACTGATTAAACAGAAAATTGGGAAATTCCTGTGAAGTTACAACACAGAGATATGAAACAATAGCCCAGGATTTCATAATACCAAAAGAATAATAAGCCAATATGTCAGAAATGACACTTTTCTCCTGAGTCAGCGCTCAATCAACGCCTTTAAAGTGCACAACCTCTTCCCTAAATCTCAGACTGGAACTGAAGATTATTAAGGCACATTTTAGTTTTACTTTTGATTTTCTTTACCAACTCCTTATGTCACTGGTTGCATGAAACTAAGTCAGCTATTGAAGAAAAACTTGTTCAGAGTTCCTGTTGTGTTCAATGTTTATCATTTGTAAAACAAACAACTTTTGGCATTTAACTTTTGTAGGGCGATATAGAAGAATCCTAAAAAAAATAAAATATAAAGAGGAAGGTTAAAATCAAGGCAGCAGAGTGATGTCCTGGTGTGAAGTCTCTACAATGGATCCAACTCCAAGCCTTCTGCTGCCCTGCAAAGTTCAGAAATTAGCTAAGGAGACCTGATGGCATGCTCTGTGATTATCAGCCATTCCTGGTCATTTTAAACCACTTTCTGATCAGGCATCATTTATAAAGGAATTACAGGCTGTAATTAATAGGTTCCTTACTGGATTCTAGTCCAGACGTCTTTCAGGGTTCATAGAGAAGGTAATCGTTCAAACAGTCCATTAGAGGGGTCTTGAATTACAGCAAGCAAAGGGTCAAGCTACAGGAGGATTTTCTGCAATCTGGCAAGTTATCCTTACTAAGGGCTTGATATGCAGCATGAGAACTAAATAATGTATTACAGTTATATAACAGTTTTTCTGGGTCAGTTTGAGAAAGAACTGTTTTTCTTTCTTCTTCTTTTTTAAAGTTATTTTTTGGCCTTTTTGCCTTTATTAGATGGGACAGTCGAGAGAGAGACAGGAATGTGGGGGAGGAGAATGGGGGAAGGAGTTGCAGCAAAGGGCCATGAGTGGGATTCGAACCCATAGCTGCTGCATCAGGTACTATAGCCCCTGTACATGGGTCACCAGCTCAACCAGGTGAACTATAGTGGCGGCCCCAGAACTATTTTATGTTTAGATTGTTTCTACCTGTGTTACTTTAAATTTGAATCAGTAAAAATATGAACAATTCACTTCCAATTATGGATTAAAAATAAGGTCAATGTTGAGGAGTAAAGAAAGAAACTAGAACAACAAAGATAAAAGCAATATAAACATCCATGAATAGCAGCATTCAGTGTGCATGCAAAGTGGCAGTTACTGAGGTAAGTGTGGTAACATTTAAAACGGTGCAAAAATGTGTGGCTGTGGGCATCGTGGTTCCAGAGTCTCTGACATAGAGTTCATCACAGTAACAGCCTGGGGGAAGAACCTGTCAGAGTCTGGTGGTTTTGTCATACAGTTTGTCATACTCTGTAGCGCCTACTGGACAGGAGGAATTTAAAGAGTTTGTGTGTGTAGGGTGTGAGGGGTCTGTAGCATTTTAGCATCAGGATGTAAGGGATGAACAATATCCTGTTTTTGTGTAGTTCACAGCACAGCTCACCTTTGTTCATTAGGGTCCGAGGACCCCTACTTGTTTAAAAAAGAAACTACATCACTTCTTATGGCTGGCACAATGGAGTTTCATTCTCATAAAGTGGAAGAAATAAATGGAAGGAGTCACTGCTGGACTGATTTGATCGACTATCAGACAAACAGCTACCTGTTTCTGTGGCTTTAAAGTTGATCTGACCCTTTGCATCATCAACAGTGGACAGCAACAAACTGCTGGGGGCGTTGACAGTGACAGACAGGTGTCTGTCATGGCCGACTCCCGTCACCCACTGCACCTACAGACACACAGACGAACAGGCGACTGAATACATTTCCATACATGGTGGGAGTCATTAGACATTTTGTGGCAGAGGTGACAGGCTCTTATGACAAACCTGACTTTTGGTTGCTTGGCCAGAGTCGGCTGTCTGATTTACTGATCATGAGCAAGATACAGAGACCACTGATCAGATCGGCATAAAATTTGCTGACTACTCATAGTACCTTTATGATAAACCGTAACAAGCTTAAGCCATTACAAAACGTTTTACACTCGACTAACATAGAAAAGACGGTGTATCTTTGCATAAAAAACATAAAGCAAATACAATAAACCAATAAACTTGAGTAGAAATCAAATCAAATATTGGTAAATGGTCTGCACTCATACAGCAATTTTCTACCTTAGTGCTACTCAAAGCTCTTTACAATGGTTCTCATTCACCCATTCACACACATTCTTACACCAATGATGACAGCGCTGCCATGCAAGGTGCTGCCTGGGAGCAACTTCTGGTTCAGTGTCTTTCCCAAAGACACTTTGTCTGTGGAGGAGCGGGGGATCAAACCACCAACCTTGGGATTAGAGGACCTGAGCCACAGCTCCCCACCCATAATGTGAGTTAAAAATCACCAACCTTCACTGAAGAGCAGAAAACAGTTGTGAGGAGCAATTTCAAGTCATCTTCTTCACACAGTCTCAAGCTCTTTCACTGATGTGTGTGATTGCTGCCAAACTGGATCATTTGCAACAGTTTATTCACATTATGGGTGAAAACAGGGATGAATTTAAATGTTCTTTTTAGGAATTTGGTTCATATTTTCTAAAGTATCGAACCAACTAAAAATTATAGGCTGAAACTGTCATGAAATGTCTCGAATGTGCTCCTTACGATGCACCCTGTGATTTTTGGTATTTTTTTCCTGCTTTGTGAACACCTTAATAGCATACTGATTAAAGTCACCCAGAAAAACAAGGAAACTGGAAAAAAGAAAAAAAGAAGGAATTTCATTTGCAGTGACTTTGCTTACCAGAAAGCTCACTTCATCTAAACAACAAATGTTTCATCCTGGAATAAAGAAATCTTCATGTGTTCATTCTTACCATGAAGTTCAGGTAAAATTTCTCTCCGTGGTGAGCAAAGTGCCAGAAGCAGTCCTGGCCACCAGCACGAAGCACCACAGAGAAGTCGTACTGGTCGGCGCCCCAGAACAGCTGCTGGTCTGTGATGTCGGGCTGTGGGTCTGTCAGGGGCCCGCCGGCACCTGAGCCCCAGAACACGAAGACAAGAAACAGGCAGGGAATTCTATGCAGCATGCCTGAACAACTGGACACAACTTCTGTAAATGAAAAGTGTAGCTAGAGTGTGTGTGGAAGTGTGGACAGATCAGAAATGATTAACTTGAGCCAAAAAAGTTGCTTCAATTAGTGGGAAAACTGGGCAGCCTGCACATATGGAGCAGCACTGATAGAGAAAAAACCGAAGAAATAACAGGAAAGGCCCTGTCAGTCAGACAAACCAAATGACAAGCTCCCAACAGTCAACACTGACCAGAGACTACGGCTAAAAATAAATATAAAAAAATGGAAATGATTTCTTATGTCAACTTTATGGTGGCATTAGAGCAAAAAAAACCAAAACAACAGATTATCACTGAAGTCAGTGGGAATCATTCTCTGAAAATAGTGAAAATCTGTAAATGAAGTCACTGCAATCAGTTCTAGAGTTTTTTTTCGATCTGGTGCACAATTGTCAAGCTCATAGTGGTGGCAAATATAGCAAATCTAACTGAATGCATGGTCTAGAGTCCATGAACACCTGTACAAACTAGGGCAATATTCCCTCAAGAGTACGTTGAGATACTTCATTGAACAAGGGAAACTCTGACCTGCTCACAGCTCCACATGAAGTATCAGGAGGATTCATGTTGTGGGGATCAGGAATGATTTTACTAAATTCTAGGACAATTCATCCGATAGTTGTCAAGAAGTTTGAATCTGGATCAAAATTGTGGGCCAAACAAATGACCTCCAGTGCCACCCTTACAACCCAACTACAAGCATGGACACAAGGCACAACCTACAAATGACAAGACTGAAAAGTACTTGGAGGCCAGTGGACGTCACTTTATTGCACTCCACAACTGAAAAGAAGTGCTGGACGAAAACAACATTCTACTGATGATACAGAGGAAAAAAGTAGCTTTTTCTTAAATCTGAAGGACGTATCCTCTAAGGATCCACGGTGTTGTTTTTGTTGTTGTTGAACTTTCATAGTTTAGTGAGCATCAAATAGCAAACAACAATTTTTTCTACATAAAACAGCTCCACGCTGAGATGCGTTCAATAAGTAGAGATGATCTTGGTTTAATAAATGTTGGAAAAGTAAGAAAAATGTCGACATATAAAAGACTCTAATCTGATAAAAAATAAAGAGACAGTCACTCCAACTTAGGTACATTCAGTGGCAAGGCAGATTCTCTAAACTTTTTCAGATGCACAATGCTTTAGATGGTTTGAGCACTTTCCCGAATGAAACACAAACTAAGAAGCTGTACTCATTTCAGAAGTGATAGAAAAATACGTCCATTTTGAAAAGCATCATACCTTACCGGTGGTTTTTGTTCAACTACTTCAGACTATTAAAAACTTTTTTATGACCTTACTTCTTTTGCAGAGGTAAACACTAGAGGAGAGAAATTTCAGTGAAATACGAGTAAAGAAGACTCCCCTGAGCAGGAGGAAGAAGCAGCATGAGATGACCAGAGAGAAACACTAAAATCAGCTTTTGGTCCCATGTGGTTTACAGGTCGATTTCAGATTTCAGTGGAGAAGTGAGAGAAAACCATCCAGTCTTGAGGGTCCACCTGGTTTGAAACAGACTGTACCAAGCTAAACCAGACATATACGGTATTACTGGACGCTATGTAGCTCAAACTATTTGCAGTTCTCCAGGAATGTCAAAGCACAACTCAGTGAAGCTCGATACTAATCACACATTGCACAATGCACTTTCGATTTCTACACACCGAACAGTTACATTTTACCACAAAGGAGCGGTCCGGGTCTAGAACATCAGTCATGAGTCTGCGACGGAGGGGAACACACTTATGTGACTGAAGAGTTAGAAATGAACTACGTTTTAGATGTTTCTGAAATGAACCAAACTAAAGCAACAAAGAAATAAAACAAGACTAAGAATCTGCAGCTCTTGTATTGTTGTACTTGTCCTTTGAGGTCCCTTAGCATGCTAGCATTAGTGATGTTACCATGTTAGCTTAGCATGTTATCATGGTGACATATGGCCTTAAACATTAGGGTTAGGGTTAACCCTCAAAGTAAGTTGCTTCTGCAGGTATGTGGTTATGAAGGTTTGGATGAAAACATTTTGATGTTAAATAGAAAATCACAGGATCATCACAGCTATTGCAACATGAGCATGAATGTGTAAATCAAATTTTGAACAATCCATCCAATAGTTGTTGAGCAGTTTCAAGCTGGACCAAAGTGGCCGGTTAAAATCTGGCTCCAGGGATAGAAATATTGGTCAGCTAGGACAATAATACTGGAAAGTAATCTCTGGGAGTGTGTATCATAGCTGACGATTGGATATTTTTCTTTATTTTAATTCCATTTTTTCTTTCTTTTTGATGTTTGCCAAATACAACATTTGTGTGACAACTTTTACAGCCAGTTTCTTTTACAGCTTACCTCATGTCTAATATACGCTATTTCTGTAAGTGGATCTTTCTAATAAGGGGAGCAGAACAGGCAGCTTTGTACAATAAGCAGAAGTGCTAAATGAAACTGAGAACACTGCTGCAAACAAACCTCTGAGAAGTTTAGAATAACAGCTTTCTTGCATGAGGTCCAATATAATGTCTGGAAAGGTGTGGACTTTGGTGTTAAACTGGCTGAAAGAGGTCACCAAGCAACAGTTTTAGATTGTGTTGATAAGGAAGGTGAAACAATGGTGTAGAATATTGAACAGATAACAAATGTTTGTTATAGCATTTAAAATGAACATAAAAGAAAAATCATGTCATATTTTTATAATTTCATCTCATTGACTGTCAGTTGAATAGATGCACACAGCACAGAACAACTGTGACACGTAAAAACATTGTCCAGAGAAACGGTCCAACTTTATGGTAGTTGGTCAGTTAGACTTCTGTAGTCAATAACTGCTCTAAGAAGATCCAGCATCTTAAGGAGCAAATTAAAAAAACATTCACAATTCAAATCTAACTGCCGTCATAAACATGGAAAAACTACTTAAATTTTCCACACATTCAGCAGCGTCAGTCCTTCTAAGATCTTGTTTTACACCAGATCGTCCTCAACAAGGTCAGAACTTGAGCCTTCGGGATGATCAGCCTCCAGCGACAGACGTGGCAGCGTCCCAGCAGACCCTCTCAGCCACACAGCTCCAGCGCTGTGGTTGGACTTGCATCAGACAGAGAACTCCGGCCCGCTCTTCCAGGTGCGTTTGGGGAGAAAAGTTGGCAGCTTGAGTCCAGCGAAGGGGCTGATCCAGAGCAGCGACGGGCGACCTCCAAACACCGACCTCAGCCCCGCCCAGCGAGTCTGACGCTCCCATGTTGGCTTCTCATTTTTCAGGCGCTCAATCTCCTGAAAGACACACAATCTCATTAGAAACACACATGTAGCTTTTTTAAAACATGCAACCATTTCAGAACCAGACACACAACCTCATTGCACACACACTCATCCTATTATATGCAGACAGACAATCTTACTACACACAGATACACTAACTTGTTACACATACATACACGCCATATACATAAGAGGCACACAATGTCATCATAGAAAAAACAGCCTCATCATACACAACAAAAAACATTATATGCAGACATTCACACAGTCATGTGGTCTTCCTACTGCAGCCTGCTTTACAGTTAGAGGCTGTGCTGGCTGCAGGTTTTACTGTAGTAACGGTCATATTGCTGACTGACTGTTCATTGGACAGGATTACTCAACCACAGTTCAGATGATGACGATGATGATGTGTGTGCTACAGTTCTCTGTATGAGAGCGACACTAATGCATGATAGATACATCAGAATGATTGATGAGATAGAAAGTTGGGGCTATCTACAGCTGACTTGTACCCAAAGTTTGTGCTGAAACTGTTGAGCTAATATTAAGAGTAAAACAAGTAGTCAGTCATCCTGTCACCTGCAGCAGTTAGCTGAGCTGCAGTCTGACTCACCGGATGCAGGCTGCCAGAATGAGCTGCCATTGGTTTTCATTTCAGGCAGCTTTCTCTCTCCTTTTATTAACAGAGCGGTACTATAGTCTTTGTCCCGAGAAACAACAATGGCAAACTAATGCCTGAAAGTTTGGCCGAGGATTTGGATCGTGCAGTCGGGCAGCTCTGTCAGTTGTTTTTGCTGTATTATCCATTTTAACCGCAGTGTTGGACTCCCTGATCCCTGTGTTTCGCTAAAAGAATTCCACCTGACACCGGTGTGAGGGAACACCTGAGCCCCACTCAGCCCCGCCCACGACGACTGAGGTGGCTTTAAAGGAATACGAACAGGCCAGAGCATCTTCCCCCTACAGCAGTATGGTAGTGTGGAGCAGCCACCCCATTACGCTCTACAGCAGCGGTCCCCAAACACCAGCCTGTGGACCGGTACCGGGCCACACAGAAGGAATAAAAACATTTTATTTTTTATTTTATTTCCCCCGGAGTCCACAGGTTTTTTATTTTAAAAAAATGACTTGCTGTGTTAATTTCGCGTCACTGGACTGTCAGTTTTCCCGCCGGGCCATTAAATGGAACCATTAATCAAACTGCTGCCGAAATTAATAAAACACAAACGTTTCTGGAGCTTCTTTGAAAAGAGGGAGAGACACGCTGATGAGACATAAGAAAAAGTATACAATCATTTAGCAAAAAAAAATTAATTTTATTTGTTTGACACTTTTTTAATAGAAAAAAAATGGTTATTATTTGATGAGCGGTCCATAGAAAAGTGTCTTGCTTGAAACCGGTTTGGGGTGCAAAAAGGGGTGGAGACTGCTGACCTGCAGCAAGCTACATGTTCAAGTAACTTCCACATGATAATAATTATACAGCCAACACACTGCCTTATTGACGAGAACCTCACTCTTCACTGTTATTGATACAGGAGTGCATTAAGAGCACAAGTTTCATTCTCACCGTCTCATCGTTGCAGATGGAGTGGAGCTGAGTGCTGAACATAACAGCGGTGAAGGTGAGGAACAAGAGGCTTTCCATACAGAGGAAAATCATCAGCATCATCGTCACCGGAGGAGAGAAATCACTGCACTCTGGACACAAAAACTTTAAAGTTACACTCCAGGTATACAACATGCAAGTTAAAGCAGCAGGATGGAGCTGTGTGTTTAGGACTGACCTCTCCACTGGACTCTGATGCAGGTGATGAACTGGTATCCACAGAGAGCCAGAGCGTGGCTGGAGATGAGAGCTATATACATCTGTGAACAAAGATAAATGCACCAGACCTCTAGACTCTGCTGATGTTTCAGCATCTTGGGGTCTGAGGGGTCTAGTAGGATTTGCAATTAACATATCTCACATACAAGGCTTAAGACAAGATTTTCGGTAAAATAAATAGGTTTGCAAAAGGAGGGAATGTCATATCTGGGGACCACGCAATTACACGCTGACAAAAATCAGACAGTAGCAGTGTGACACCGTCTTGTGAGGAGGGATGAATGGTATGTCGTTTACAGCCTTAATGTGGCTACGTTGGCTGTGTTTCAGAGTCATACATAGGTCTTCATGAAGCAGTAAGACAATCTGTCAAAGAGCTAATCTAACAAGAATTGCGACTGCCACAAGGTCTCGGCTACATAGCTTTGCTGCTTTGTGCTAACCAGTCTGACTGTAGTTTACATCCACGTCTGTCCACACCCTAACCCTACGTAATGTAGAGAGTGAGCTATGGTGCATTCATTGAAAGACACAAAAAAACAATCAAATGCCTCGTATGTGTCTATGTGATGGCTAAAAATTCCACAGAAAAAAGCTTCAGGAAAGAGGACTCACTTCCCTGCTTTAATGCTATCTCAAGCATCCATTCCCAAAACAGTGAGTGTAAAAGTTTTTGAAGTCCTCAGAAATTCTTTGTCTAATCTGAAGATGATGGGTTCATATTATATTCTGTAGTTTTCTGTGATTTTAGCCTGTTGTCCTCCCACACTGGGGATGAACGAGAGCAAGTTTAGACGCTATACTGCAAACAACAGCGGGCTGATACTAAAAGTAATTCTGCATGATTTCTGTCACTAATAAGTCTTCTTGTCTGAAGGAGTTGTTTGGCTGAAACAACAAACATCTGGAGAAATACAGTCATCCTCAAATTTATTCATACTCTCCCATTAACGAAGGAAAAAAAAACAGCTGTCACTGAAATAAGTTGAAATTGGCAAAAGTAATACAGTTAATGAAAATCATGACATTGCCTTTGAATTGTGGTTCAACAGAAATTATTTAAACAAACAAACAAACAAAACAAGCAAACAAGCATGATGGGACCCGTACACTAATATTTTGTTGAACAAACCTTTGAGGCAATCACTGCAATCAAGTGTTTTCTGTAACTCTCAATCTGACTTCTGCACCTGCTGACAGGTATTTTGATTTTGACTGCTCATCAGCAAAGTGCTCTAATTTGTATGGGAGAGTTAAAAAAAAAAATAATTATTCCTTTCAACCACAATTCAAAAGCAATGTCTTCTTTCACAAAATTAGAATGTAGCAAATTTGTATTTCTTATTACTTTTTTCAGTTTCTAGTTATTTGAGTGACTGTTGTGAATTTCGCCTTTTCTTTAATGGAAGGGGATGGATGAATTTGAGGACGACTGTAACACACAACAGCTACTGGCTAAAAGTAACACTATAGGCATTGCGCTAACAGTCTAAAAGCTGGAACAAAATGTGTTTAGCATCTAAAAATATGCTCCAAACCTCTTTACTGGAATGAAATCACCATCTGCTCCCACTGCTGAAGCTTGTGAGTATTTGACTGAGCAGCAAGCCGTTTCTATTCGTGGCCTCTGAGGGACCAATACAACAATGTCCAAACTAGAGCAAGCCACATGTGGCTGTTTGAACATCACATCTGGTGCATATCCAGACTCCTTGAAAAGACCAAATCCAGGTGTTTATATGTTAGAGTTTTCCATACTTCCACACTGTCTTACTCTATGTGTGGCCTTCAGCTCCAAGTTCACTGGTCTCTGTCGAAGACATGCACACAAATTATGCAATATGATTTTTTAGAAAGAGACTCAGTGATTCCTTCAAACAGCAGGACAATAGTTCCTACCTAACAGAATGTGGCGGTGCATCTCTGCAGGATTATTTGCTGCAATGGATAAATCCACATTTGGTGCTCATTGACTACGATGGTGTGAACAAACCACATCTGTGTTCATGGAAGGAACATGTCCGCCGGTGTACCAGTGTGGCTGATGTGTTCATTTAGTAGTGTTTGGAATCAGCGCAGCTCAGTGGCACAGGGGAATAAGATATCTGGAGCTAGCACTTATTCGTAGGGGACTTTGTTGCTGCAATACAATATTTATAGATTTAGCCTTTAAAATCTTTCATTACCGATTCACTGATGGGTGATTTCATGCAGTAAAGGTAACTTGTGTTGCCACTTTAAAGCTCTAAACACTGAACACAATCCATTCTGTTCACATACATTTGTCACCGTTGTTGTTCCCTCAACCAGCAGATGGAAGCCGTCAGGCTCCCTGCAGTCAGGAGTGAACATTAAAACAATGAAAGAGGCAAAGAACGTCAGGATGCAATTCAATAATCCCACACACTCTCCTAACTCTTCCTTCAACCTGGATCATGTTGCTGCTTTATAATCTCGTCTTAGCTGCTTGACTGCTGATGTTTAACTCTCTGCTGCAACGCTGCTTTTGATGTATTTGATCTGACCTAAAGCTTGTCCTCATGCTGACCTCAATAAAGAGCCTCTGACCGACAGTAAATCTGAACGTGGACTGCTATATGTTGATACTAAATATCTTCAGTTGTCCTGTGAAGACGTGACTCTGGATAACATCTAAAGTGGACAGAGACTTACGGTGAAGAGGACGAAGAAGCGCTGGTTCTTCTCCCCGACACAGTTGTTGACCCAGGGGCAGTGGTGGTCCATCTTTCGGATACAGCGCTTACAGATACTGTAGAGAAGCGAGAACATGGCCGCATGACGCACTTCCTGGGCACATCTATAAATCCTCGATGAAACAGTGACTTCACACTAAAACCCGGGTAGGATTAACTCGCCTGACCTGCAGTGATGAGCCCTCTCCGGTTTGATGCTGCAGCACTTTGGACATTTATAGATAACCTCGCCCGGCTTCAGCTGCAGACTCTCCATGTGTATTTTAGTGGCGTTTCCTTTAGGAACGGCACCCTGAGGAGACGAAGGAGCAAACTCAGAGGGTGGAAATAGAGAATAAGAAACATCTGATGGCCTAGGTGCAACTTTGAATCAGTTAAACCACAAGGAACGGAGCGCTCAGCTGTTTATCTCCTGCAGCCTCTCTGCTGTGATGTGGGTTCTGGGGGAAGTCATCATTATCTAAAATGCTGTACAGCCAAAGTGTTTGGAAATGAAACTGACTATACAGACCAAGTTGGTTGAAGTTTTATCAAGTGCTGCAGTGAGTGTAAGACAGTCTGGTTGGTGGGGGAGTTCTGGGCTCCACTCTACTACATTATTGTGTCAGAATTGGGTATGAAGCCAATGGCAAGCAAAAACAAAACTAGTCCATTGTTGGGTTTCTGTGCTCTCTGCAGCCTGTAAGATTGTTGATGAGTGTTTCTGGATTTCAGTGAGAGGTCCTCTCTGTCGTTGACTGTGTCATATCGGTTTCAGGAGTCACATTCTGCCAACTCCACTTAACAAATATATAATAATATCTGTAATTTTAGCCCATCAGACTTCAGTATTTTTGTCAAGTAGAATAAAATAAGATGTGTCAAGTTTAGAAGGCTGCAGCTGTAGTTTCAGTGAATCAGATATAACATTTAATCAACATTTAAAGCTTGATCAGGACACCTCATGTTGATCTTACAAAGCCACATACTAAGCAGTGAACTCCAAATGTGACCTAACTCTTGCCTCCTTTAAGGCTGAGCTACTTGTGCAGCACTGTGTCCTTGCAGCTGCGCTCCTCAGTTCTGCTTCAGTCAACAGTCTCACCCCAAAACCATCAGCCTCCTCACCGGGTCAGTCAGCATGGTGCGGAGGTGGGAGGCCAGCGCTAGCACAGCCAGGCTGTTGAAGAGCACCCCGTTAACCACAGCATACCAGAAGCTTCTGGAAGGCAGCAGCATGACGAAGGTGACCACAAAGTCCGCAAAGAAGACCAGAAACCAGGTGATGAAGGCACACACCATGCCACAGCAGTCCTGAATGAACCAGAGCTGCTTGGCTTCGCTGCTGGAACTTCTGCCCTCTCCTTCGTCCTCCTCCCCGTCCAACAGGGGCCGCTGCTGCTCCACATCCCTCAGACGGTGGCCTGAGGACATTCTGGCCAGATGGAGGGACAAAGGAGACAGGATTACGGCAAGGTTTCACGAAAGGGCTTTTCAGAAACCAAAGATATAGGTTTGGATTTCAGCTGCCAATAAGCAGTATGAGAGAGAAGCAGAGAATATGAAATGTGAACCAGCACAGCACACACTGCACAAAGGACACCTTTACTTACTTGACAGTGCCTTTACTTCACAACATTACTGCTGCTGTCCCAGCATGGAATCACAAGCTGTCTTCTCTCTGGGTCACATTGCTACAGACGGCACAAAGTCAAACCTTTAGGAGTTCATGATTACAACGATGATACACTAGTTTTGTATTTACAGTTAAACTAAGATGAAACCTGGCCTTTTCTGACTTATAGACCAGGGGCCTCATGTACAAAGACTTGCGTGGATTTCATACTGAAACCTGGCATGCGCTTCAATCCAGAAAACTCCGTACACACACAAAAAAATCCAGATGAATGAAAGTGAGCCTAAGCCTGAATCCAAACACATTTCCTTTGTACATCCCACTCAGCTTGGAATTGACGCATGTGTTGGAGTACCAGACTCCTCCCTCTCCACGGCCTCCACTTAAATATGCAAATTAGTATAAACAGGCCCATAGGTGGGATCCCCCTGTCTGCATGATCAGATAACAGTAACAAGCCATGAGTAAGAAAGGTAAGAAGAGGAACTTCACAGAATGTGAGCTGGAGACACTCATCAATAAAGTCGAGGCCTGTAAAAACAGTCTTTTCATCACGCTGTCCTCTGGCATCAACAGCAAACACAAGAGGAGTGAGTGGGAGAGTGTGTGTGAGGCGGTGAATGCTGTGGGATCAGAGCAGCACACACTTACAGAGGTCAACAAGAAGTGGTCAGATATCAAGGTGAACGTCAAGAAGAGGACTGTCGCCCACCGCCAGAGCATGGCCAAAACAGATGGGGAGAGAGGAGAGGATGAACTCACCCTGTATGAGCAGAGAGTCGCCGCTATTGTGGGTGACACTGCTGTCACAGGGGTGGTGGGAGCACACGTGGGTCACTCAGATCACCCCAAGGTAAATATTTATTGTGTAACTCACAAATTATTCATTATACGGCTCATACAATAATCTGCTCACAGCCAAACAACATACAGGTTCATGTGTAATCATGCCAGAATATCAAAGAGGAAATCAAAGACTTTGTCTCATGTTTAATTACTCAATTTATTATTTTCCAACAGACAATGAGGCAGGAGAAGACTGTGAGCTACGTTTGCTGAGAGAAACCCGCAGAGAGTGGGGGGACTGCTGTGTGTTTGCTTTAACAGACAACATCCCTGTACGGACATACAGCTGGAGGAGACGACACCTTTACGGGCGAACAGACAGTCAGCTAGCTCTGAACTTTTCCAGAGCTGCTGCAGGAGCAGGGCACTGAACATGGTCAGGGACTCCTCACACCCTCTCCATAATCTGTTTGAACTGCTACCATCAGGCAAACGTTTCCGGAGCACTAAAATAAGAACCTCCAGAATGATCAACAGCTTCATTCCACAAGCTGTCAGAACGCTGACCTGCTGATCCAGATATGCAAACACGTCTTTATTTAATTGCTTTTAGTTTTGGGATCCTGAAGAAACGTTCTCTCATCTTGTTTGTACTACTGTTGTATGTACAGCAACATGACAATAAACTTGATTTGATTTGATAGCTAGCGGAGCCGTAGAACGCGTCTGTGACGGGGGACGCTGAGCAGCGCAGCACCCCGAGCGCTGATCCACAGGACAGACACGAAACAGGAAGACATGGAAACGAGCTCACGAAAGTGAACCGACGTTTAGCTTTTCTCCACATGCTTTCTGTTCAGCTGTGCCACTTCTAAAACGCCCGTAAACTCCTGGACGGGATACACTTACCCTCTGAACGCAGCCGGATGTTTCGGTGCAGCAGCGCTTCCGGTTCGGCTGCTTCCGGAGGAAGTGTTTCCCTGCAGGTGGTTCCGTCCATAGACATATATAATAAAGGCCTTCATTATGTTTATCTGTGGTTCCGTCTGCCAGCTCAGATGTAGAGCGACACAAAGTCGCTGATTTTCTGTAATACATAATTCAGTTGGCTGATAACAGGTTTCTCTAACTTCTGATCTGGTGCGATATGATTGAGTTGAATTGGTTGACTGGTCTGTAAAATCAATGAATTATTTGTGTAAAGACCTGGAATTAGACAGTGATCTAATCCACAGAAGTTGTAGTATTTATTTGACCCATTTCTAAACGACAGTATGCTACCCTAATAAGCCCTGAATGAATGTCACTACAAGTCGCACAAACTACAACCTTTTCTTAACATTTGTCAGCCCAAGCCCAATGATGGTGACAAAGGAGGCTACGTTGTTGAAGATTTGTTGAAATCTGTTGAAATTTGTTGATTTTTTTTGTTTTTTTGTTGAAAAAAATTTGTTGAAATCTCATACTTTTCTGTAGTTCTCACCATCTCTTCATGCCACATGAAAACTGTAAATAACAGTTGTAATAGGAAGCATTGAGCCCTGTGTGGAGATATTTTCTCCCCTGCTGTTTCCAAAGTCAACACTGATGTGCGCAGTTCCTTCACAAGGAAGAACCACGAGACGTGATAGACGCTGTGGCCAAAGTGTTTTCTTAGCTGAACTATGAAAATGTGAAAGGCAAATAAATGATTGGACGTGGATCACTCAAATTGAGTGGGAGCCATTCACTGTTTCTTCATGCTTCCTTCAGGTCCGAGCAGCCTCCTCCATGCTGCCGCCACCACCACACTGAGGAGATGGCGTCTCCCAGGAGACCAGACAGTGCTGGGTTCTGCCTACACTTCAACTGTGTCACTATTAGAGACTCTTGTTCCTCATGCTGTCAGAGAGCTTTAAATGCTATTTGACAAACAAGTGGGCTGTTACAAGCCAGCCTTTTTGTTCGCTCACTCCGTTTGACAGCACCGACAGCTCAGGGTGGACCCAAACTTCTTTCATTTCAGATATTGAGGCCACCATACTCCTGGAAACATTCATAGTTCTTGAAATGGCTGTATAACCTTGTCCTAATCTATGCATCACCACAGCTATTTAATGCTTCTTAAGTTAAAATATACCAATGATAAAAAATACAACTTGTCTAAATCATAGGTTTATTGTTGGTTATTTGGGTGGGAATTAAATAAGGCACATTCAAATCATCTTTAAACATTCAAACCTCAAAATAAAACAGTGGTACAAAAATACTTAAGACTTAATCTCTGGTAGAAGTTGACATCCATTCAGTTAAGATTAGACACCATAAAGAATAAGATGCTGTTTCTGTGAGTGATGGGCCAAAGACAGCAGACACATGGAGGGAGAGTACCGAGTACAACAACAGCTGTTCAGCAGAGGTGTCACACTGAGTTTCAGCCTCATCCCCAATGAAACAGACTGATCAAACACATCCTAACAAGTGAATTAGGTGACATCTGTGAACAGTGACATTATTGAAAAGACTAACACTGAAGGTGGCGGTTACACGGCACTGCAGCCTGGATACAGCGCTCTCAAAGGGGATTAGACGTCTTCTAACGTTAAAGTTTCAATCTGGAACTTTTGCATGTTGTATGAAGCCCATTTACGACTGCAGTCACCTCACAGCCGACTGATTCCTAAATCATACCATCAGTTTGTGTACACTGGTCAATGTGCAGGCAGCCGTTAGCTTTAGTCCACGTCAGTACTATACCACAATGTATTAGTAGAAACTGAAATGATAAACATATCAAGATACGGCAAAACTGTGCAAAAACATGAAATAATCATGCATAACTTCAATACAATCACATGTATTCGGAAGTTATGTACTAAACCAACATTTTACTCATTTTGCTCCTGCAAGACTTCTTGTGATAACCAATTATTCTGTTAAATGCTCTTTTATTTCATCACTTAGAGTTGCAGTCTGTGATGGATATTTAGCTAGTTAGCATATTTAGATAGCTGGAATGTGCCAGACTGTCCAGCTGCTCCTGACCACCGGTCCTGTGTACAGGCACAAACATGCACAGGACACGCTGGAGCAGTTTGGTGTGGCTTCATCTAAACCACCTGGTTTCCCACATACAGAGGCAGCCCCGTTTACAAACACCAGATCTTCTTTCAGCACACACACAACACACAACACACAGCTAGTGGACTATGAGAAGAAATTCACTGAATTTGGCAAATATTTTGGATTAGAATTTCTGACAGTAATTTAATTTCTTTTGTTAATAAATTGTCAAAAATAGTATTTACTTATCATAATGCACCAAATGGGACATCTTTAGGTGACCAAAAAGCCAGATATTAATTTTACAGTGGAACAAAAATAGAACACTGCTCCTTGACAAATGAATGAAACCAGTGGCTGATGGTCAGTTTTACACTTATCAACTAACCAAGTAAATAACGGACAGTTTCAGCTCTGTTTTTAACAACTATTTAGTGGAATCATTTATTTGGAAAGCAAAATTTGATTTAAAAAAAATCGTACGAACACATAATCATGATACAAAACTGCTATTTACAGTTAAGTCTTGCTATCTTTGCCTTATAGGACATTCTAAGTGAGTGCAGACTCTCAGTGTGTTGGACAGAGCAGCAAATACAACTACATTAATAGTCTCATACATTTGGGATATCGTCTTACATATCTGATTTCTGACCAATGTGGCAGGTCATCATTTGTCAGTCTTGAATGCATCAAATATGACTTTTTGCGGACAATGTGTCTGTACTTAAACATGTAGCATGTTCTCATATATCGTATAACTTTTGTGTTATTGGTGGTGCTGCTGTTAACATAGCTAATAAACATGTATGAATTGTTGATTGTGATTTGCAGGAAGTCTCTGAAAGTTTATTTTTCATCAAATCAACTGAAATCTATGGCTGAGGGTGGAAATCCACCAATTATCTCTTGGTTTGATTTGGAAAACAGTTGGCAGTGAGATAAATCCAACAATTCTAATCAACAGGCAAAAGCAGGTCAATGAAGCCACTCTACATTGTGCAATAAACCCATTCTAACATTTAGGAGAAGCTGAACCTCTCTAAACACAGCACTCACTACCATCACACGTCATAAATTAAATAAAACAATACTGATGAAACAATAAGGGGGGGTAGTACGGAGTTTAGTATAAAATGTAAGCGAACCAGCTAAAGGGTAAATCAGTTTTAACACTGAACCCAAGTTAGCGTCTAGTATTCAAGTAAAATAAAACAACCACCTGTTTCTCAAATATAATCTGGCGCTCCAGTGTCAGAGCTACAGTCTCGTGGCTCAAAACAAAACTGAAGTGTGAAATAAAGTAAAGTCAGTTTGCATCCCTTTTTCTGTTGTGAAGGCTAGAAGAAGAATGTGCTTTAAACTCAGGAGAGAGTAAGAGGACCTTTCCTGATCCTTTCATACAATCTGCATTTTCACACATTTGCTGAGTCTGGACACAACATGCCATCATGAATCAATCAGTTGCTCACCCAAATCTGAGAACATATTCTCGCCCTTTAATTTTATGGTTTATCTAAGATTACTAGGAAATTCATTGTGACTTCAAAGTGTATGTTTAGTTGAAATTACAAAAGTATGTGATCACTTAGCTGTGATACTGATTGCTTTCATACCATTTGTCTAGGTTTTGAGAGACGTCTGATTTCTGCCTCTATTTCAGACCAGCGGAGGTGAACAATTCAAAAACATCTAGTCAGGAAGAGTGTTGTCTGCTTGGCTCGATAATCCAGTTCCCACGGTGAACAGTGTCTTCTGAAACTACTTTCTACCGAGGAAACAGGCTGGTGAAAATGTCTCATTTGGAGGTTTGTGGACAATCAGCAAATAAAAAACTGCAGCTGCTCATTTAGGTCAACAGCGACACGGAGTTGCAAGGACGGCCATTTAGCAGTTAAACATGTGAAAGCAGACTATTATATTTTGTACAATAAAACAATGGAGGTCTACTGTTTATGCCGCTGTTTTGGAGATGGAGTGAAAAGGAGACGGATTCCTGACAGACAAGGTACCACTGCCCTCACAACCACTACAGAGGCAGACATCCAGGAGTCAGTCAGGTCAAAACCTGGACAAATAAAACCAGAACCTCTGCAGTAGCTGGGTGAATGAACTGCAGAAGTAGGTTGTGGTTTCTGTGAGAGGACACAGACCCAGTATGAATGAAGTCAGATGATGAGTCAGTTACACCTGATCTCAAATCATGTGCTTACTTTTTTCTTTTTTGGCAAACATTTAGCTTTTGGGATGTCTTACAGTGAGCAGTTCATTTCCCAGAAACTGATTGATCTCATTCAGTTCTCTTCTAATAGTTGCTCTACAACACCTTCATTCTGGTCATAGCCTCCTTGATTTGACGGTGCGCTCGTCTCTGCTGTTTGGTTGCCGTTTCTCTGATCGCCACTGTCAGTCTGGATGACGGGGTGCATGTCAGTGGCGTTGGGGTCTTCATCCTCGCTTTCTGACTGCAAGGCTTCAGCTGCAGCAAGAGGCTGAGTCTGGCTGACGGCGGCTTCCTCTGATTCTCTGTTCACAGGCCGGTGGGTGTGAGGCGGAGCAGACTGAGCGGTCAGCATGTGTGTAGAAGAGAAGTCAGGTGAGCTGCTGGCTTGTGGCGATGCATCAGAGGGCGGGAGGGGCGAGCTCTCACTACCTGTGCTGCAGTTAGAGACGTCAGTGGAACACAGTTCACTGGTGTCAGCTTCAGCATCAGCTGCCTCTCTGGATGTCTGGACACCTGCTGGCACAGCACCTTCGCTAGTTTTGGGAGTGTGTATGCAATTTGCCTGATCATGATCTTCTAAAATGTATTCAGTCGTGTTTGGAGCATGTGGAGAGTCAGGTGGCTCTGGAGTGTGCACTTCAGAGTCCAGCGTGTGACAGCGAACCAGGGGCCGCTCCTTCTGACGGAGCCCAGCATCAAAGCTTCCTGACGGGCTGCTGACCTCCACCGTCTCCCCCCGCCTCAGCCTCCTCCTGTCTGGATTCACCTGCGAGGAAAAATCACCATCACGTCAGAAGACTAGGATAAAGCTGCAATACAGGGTTGTTACTAAGGATCGACCGATGTGTTCTTTTAGGGCCGATGTCAATATCTATTACTAGTTATCAAGAAAGGCTGAAAACCAATATTTAGAACCAACATCCATTAAAAGTCATTGATTGATTGATTTTGAAGGTTTTAATTTAAATGCCTCTCAAGGTAATGAAACGGTCCAAAAAGCACAAAGTCTGTTCAAGTCTCTTACATCTCTGTTTTATTCTGCTCAAGAGAGGCACTTGGGTCAAGACACCAGATGGCAGACCTCAGCCATGCAGGGCCCGTCGACCTAGCTCACTACTGTGTCATTAAGTATGAACGACAGAAAAAGACCCATGGTGTATGTTGTGAGGTCCCTCTCACAACAAAATAACATATACGGATAAGAAATTTCTGCACTTTAAGACTCATCAAATCAGATCATCTAGTCCATACTGAGAACCTGTAATGTAGATCTGAATTTTCACAAGACTAAGTCATGTTGGCATCTGCGGCTGCAACAGGAAGTTCTCTTTCGTACACTACCATGGTGTGACACAGCTGAGAGGTGCCCTTTCATATATTAAAATGCTGAACCAGTGACAACAGCACCTGCTACAGGCATCACAAGGATTCACCCTCTATGGGGAACATCCCTGTCTATCTATTAGCAGCTGAGATTTCAGCCACTGACATTACTTTCTACACCGCTTGTATGGCTAAAGACAAAGAAGAACCTCAACAGTGAGAATGTGAAGAGTGTACCTGGTTCAGGGCTGGTGAACACCTGGAGGAAGGACCAGAGGAACCTTTCTTCATCTGCTGGATCCTGAATCAAAACAAATCCAAACACACTTACGACAGTTCCTTGAACTAAATCCCCTTTAGTTTTAATTTTCTCTGAATTATTTCTCTGTTGACAGTTTACCTGGACTGGGCCAGCTTCTGTCTCCTGCCGTTGGAGTGATCCTGGAGCCTCAGGCGCTGCACAAATGAATGAGCTGCAGGGACCACAACACAGACACAATCCTGGTTAAAGACCAACAGCAGACCAGTGGATTTCTGGCCTGATCCTAAGAATTTTACTATAAAATGAAGTGTCAAGTTCAGGGCTTGGACAAAACAATCTAACTGCAGCATGACATGACTCCAATGACGAACTTTTAAGGAATGTATAGTTTTGTTCCAAACACTGAGGTAAATGACACTTCTCTTGGAGCCTCAGTGGCAACTTTAGGACCACATGGCTTTTGGAAATGAGCTGATATTACATACCCAGGGCTCCTTTGGGCACAGAGAGGAGTTTGATTGGTTCAGCATCAGGGGAAAGTCCAGAAGCTTTCTGCAGAGCTCTTAGGATTTCATGGTTCTGCAGTAGAAACCGAGAAAATGATAGTGTTACTGTGCATGTTGTTGTGCTTTGTTGTGTATTGTTTATATCGCATGACATTTAAAACGTAAAAGACTGATACTTCATGCTGACTGGAGAGGTCTCCAGCACTTGAAAAGATCAGGACTAACTTTATCCTTAAATATAAATATCAAATATTTCTTCAACAAAACCAGATGTGACACTGAAACATTTCAGAGGAACTGTACATATGTACAGATAAGTACGCTTTGGGCATTTTTATTCCTGACAATATCATCATACAGAACAGGAGAAAAAAAAACATTTTCTCTTGGGGCCTTTATGAGTGAGTAGATAGCAAATGAAAAGGGTTCTAGGCTGTACAACAACAACGACATCAGGGTTTCTCCACTGTTCAGCTAATTTAACTTAATTTCACAATAAATTTTAAAAAATTACAATTGTCAAAAAGTATGAAGGTAAGTTGTAAATGATTTTTACATACATTATGTTGATATTTATTGTGTCATACTAACCTGATTCATTCAATGCATCACATAACTCCCAGAAATGTACAGTAATCACTGAATGAATGGGGCCTGGTGAGCTAGCAGGAGTGACAGTGCCACAGGTCTGACGGTGAAACTTCAAAAGAATCACAACTTGCTGGCCAAACACACCAAAGGTGTGTGATCTTTTCTGACAGCCCCAGTCAGATGTAACAAAATGATAGCTTGTGTCACTGGAAGGGGGAAGTATTTAACACTTTTGAAAATTAAATGTGAGACTTTTTAATAACATCTAAGACCTTTTCTTGCAGGAGCTAAAGTTAATGTTTTTCAAGGTTTTCAAGACATGCAGATACCCTAATATAGAGGGTTTTAGGCATTATAAAGTTACGATTTTAATCCAACACCAAGGAGGGGTCTGACTGGTCTCAAATTCACTCTTCTGCATTACAAACCAAAACATACAGGAAGAATCATTAGCCTTTTTCAGATATGGGGTATGTAACGCTGCTGCTTCATCAGCCTGTGACAGCATAGCAGAGGTCACTTTTACATTAATGTTCCTCACAGCTCTGAACAAAAGTGTACATACACTTGTAGGGACCATGTATATCATGTCAGTCTTCAGTTTCCAATGACTGCTGTAACTCTTCATTTTCTGTGATGGAATCACTGAAACACAACAACTATGGATTTTGGCTCTTTTATAGACTTATTATAGGTTGTCAGGAAAATTACAAAATCTGCTGGGTGAAAACTATGCAGACAGTTCTTCATGGCATGGTCTCTTACCTTCCTACCTACTACAGAGCCACAAACACTACAGTGAGAAAGTCTGAGAGTTCAGCAAAGATCTGAAAAAGCAAATCATTGACTTGAACCAGTCAGAAAGTCACTTGGAGTCATTTCAAAGCAGCTTCAGATCCCAGAATCATCAGTTTGTCAGGATAAAGTTCATGGTCCAAGTGTGTTACTGCCACGATCAGGAAGAAAACATAAGCCATCACCTGCTGCTGAGAGACGATTGGTCAGGATGGTCAGGAGTCAACCAAGAACCAACAAAAAGCAGCTCTGGATGGATCAGAAGCTACTGGAACACAGCTGTCAGTGTCCACAGGGTGTTACATCAACTATGAGCTGAGAGGCTGATGAAGAAGGAAGTTCTTCCTCTACAGGAAGAACCTTAAAGCTCCACTGAAGTCTGCTGCTGATTACATGGACAAAGAAAAGGCCTTCTGGAGGAAAGTTCTGTGGTTCTGTGGAGTTGGACTGCACTAATTCTGTTAAGAGTAGTGTTTAAAGATACAACCAGAAGCCTGTGGACCGCTACCAAAAACACCAAGTTGTGCTGAAAATAGCCAAGGGGACATTTAACTAAATATTGTATGTATATTTTTGGCCCAGCAGATTTTGTCGTTTCCAGGCGACCTATAATAAATGAAAGAACCAGAATGCATGATTGTTTTTTTTTTTTTTTTTTTTGCGTGACAAAGTGTTTCAAGGATTCCATCACAGAAAATGAAGAGTTACAGGAGTCACTGGAAACTAAAGACTGTCTTGATACACAGGGTCTTTACAAGTGCATGTAAACCTTTGTTTACAGTACACTGTACCAATCTAAGTGCCTTCATACGTGGGATTAAATTTAGATGCCGTCAGATAAATGGACTGGAGTGCACGTTTTAAAGAGGCTATAAAGAACTATCTTCAACCACAAGAAGTGCAACAAGTTCTGCAACAGAAGGACTAACCCCACAGAACCCTGTCCTTGACATCATGGAGTCATCTGGGATTACATGAACGAACAGGAGACAGACTGAATCCACACATCAAAATTCTCCAAGATGCTTAGAGAAGGTGCTTGAAGAACTGTGTGCAAGTTCAAAGAGGCCTTGTATTGTTCTAATGGCACTTTGACAGAGCTTTTTTCTCTTACTGTATGCTGGATAAAGCTGACCTGTCAATAAAAATGATTCATGGCACTATTTTTGAAAGGATCCTTACTTTACGTTTAGTGCCTAAAGTTTGGCACCGGGCTATGTATAATAGAGACAGTACATAAAACAGACTTTGATCATTTAGTAAAATGTGCTTCAATCCAAAGCTTTAAAACCCAGCATGTGCCAGTCTACTGTCTCCACATTGTGCATATGATACCACCTTGCCACCCAGTTCATAGGCGCAGTCCAGTGGTGTTCTCTGCCTTTTATTCCTGAGGCCCGATACGGCTCCGCCCCTCAGCAGCAGCTCCACGAGGCCCTGGTGTCCACCTCGCACCGCCTCATGGAGAGCTGTGTTCCCCTGAAGGTTCGCAATGTTCACCAACGCATTACTCTGCACACACATTCATGTTTTCAAGAATAGCATTAGTGACATAATATTGTATAAGAGTGTGTTCTCTCTTTACCGTTCAGGAGAAAGTGCAGTTGTTTACCTGTAACAGGGTGGTGGCTGTTTCCAGGTTTCCACGGAGACAGGCATGGATCAGAGGTGTGTTGCCATACTGATCCTTCTTATTCAGTTTGGCATTGCACTCCAGCAGAAACCTCACCACCTAAAAATCAAACACATACAAACATGCATCACATGCATGTAGTGTCACAGTGCCAGTCGTTCTATTACAGAAGAAAAAAAATAACTCTGTGCCTTGTTTGTATTTTGTAAACCAATCACAATCGTCTTGGGTAGAACCAAGCTGTGGTGCCCGAGTCAAACGACAAAATGCTGGTGGTGGAAGGGGAGCAGAGTGCTGTGTGAAATACATCAGGGAAAAGGCAAACGTATATCCACAGTTAGATTCCAGTGAGTAGGCCTATGTGAAGGTCAATAAAAGCCCGGTCCCTGCTGCAGAGTCATACGTTTGTAAGTACAACAATGCCTTAGGCTGTCTCTCAGTACTTACTGACTTCTCTCCTCTCCATCGGGTCCTACTCCTCACAAATATGTAGTTTCATGATAAGAAAGATTCAGTATTTTCCTTCCTGACCACTGTAGGGTTTAACAAAAGCTATTCCAACATGAGGCAATAGTGCATTTGCTGGGGACTATTTTCTGTGGTGAAATAATCCACATTTGGTAATCTAGTAAGTATTTGGGGCATAATCCAAATAAACTGCAGTGTGTGTTCATGTAATAAAGGAATGTGTCACTTGATACAACAGCAGGGCTCACTGCATTGTTTGTAATTCTCTAGACAACAATGAATCTCTATAGAATAACACATCAAACCTCAGATACACTCATACCACTTGTTATGAGGATACATTCAATGTTGGTTTTGATATTTTCATGGAATTTGTTAACTTTTCCTGTTTCAGGTCAGTTAGGATTACCAAGATTATTTCTATTTGCTAAACAACAGAATAATAAGTTAGAAGTTTACATACATTTCCTTAGTATTTGGTAGCATTGTCTTTAAACTGTATGACTTCAGTCAAACATTTTAGGTTTCTTTCCACAAGCTTCTCACAATAGTTTGACAAACTCTGGCCAATTCCTCCTGTGAGAACTGGTAGAACTGAGTCAGGTTTGTTGGTTGCCTTGCTCCACACGCTTTTTCAGCTCTGCACACAAATTTTCTACAGGATTGAGATCAGGGCTTTGTGATGGCCACTCCAAAACATTGACTTTGTTGTCCTGAAGCCTTGTTGTAACTAATTTTGCGGTATGCTTAGGGTCATTGTCCATCTGGAAGACCCATTTACACCCAACCTTTAACTTCCTGATAGCTTGAGATGTTGCTTCAATATTTCCACATAATGTTCTTTCCTCTTGATGCCATCTATTTTGTGAAGTGCACCAGTCCCTCCTGCAGCAAAACACCCCCACAACATGATGCTGCCACTCTCGTACTTCACAGTTGGGATGGTGTTCTCAGGCTTGCAAGCTTCCCCCTTTTTCCTCCAAATGTAATGATGGTCATTATGGCCAAACAGTTCAGTTTAAGTTTCATCAGACCACAGGACATGTCTTCAGAAATGAAGGTCTTTGTCCCTGTGTGCATTTGCAAACTGTAATCATATATGTAATCATACATACATAAAGATATATATATACACACACACACACACACACACACACACACACACACATACACACACATACACACACACACACACACACAGTATGTGACATACTGTATATGTTTACACCCTTACTTGAACCACTTCTAGGCCACTTTGCTCCTACCTGGATGTGGCTATTCTGGCTGGCCAGGTGAAGCGGCGTGGCGCTCTGGTTGGTGCGGGCATTGACACTGGCCCCGTGGCGGATTAGCAGAGCAGCCAGCGCCGAGTGGCCGTGCAGAGCTGCGACATGAAGTGGTGTGAAACCGTCAACGTTGCAGCTGTTGACACCAAGAACTCCAGCCTGCAGCACGGACAGCTGCAGGACACACATACGACACATAAGCAACTTTTTCAACCATGCACACTTCAATTACAAAAGTTAAACTGGTTGCCATGTGTCTGCCTGAGCAGCTGTCAGACCTTCTGAGTGGGAGCGCAGTCTGGACACTGACACAATGGGTGGCAGAGCAGAGCTTCAGAACGAATGTCTCCTTCATCCTCCTCATCTTCATCCATCCACTCCAGCAGGTAGCGCACCTAACATAGACGAGAACAGTGCTGACCCAAGACTGTACTGATTCAAAGCAAGACGATAAGACGGACAAAGTGCTGCTCATTTATCTCACCATCTCCACATCATCATCTGCCACAGCACGCAGAAGCTTCTCCACCTGTCAAGCAAACAAACAGAAGTTGTCACACAAGATGGCAGAACAGCATCCTACTGCCTCTAAAGCTGCTTCTTCTTCTGTGGTAACAACTGTTTAAGGAGCCTCATATGAAGATTAGTCCAACTGCTTGTCTGCTACCACAGGGAATGCTATTTCAGTTACCACCAGTGTTGCTACTGCGAGCAGACAAGAGCATCGATGATGTTGTAGTTCTTGAGTTGTATTTCATTTCAGTTTCAGATTGTTTTATTCATTTAGGGCAGCAAGTTTTTTTTTCTCTGCTGTTAGGTTGTTGCTTTTGTGTTTTGCTGTAGTTCACCTCTCTGTGTCGGACTCGATCTCCCTCTGGTTTGGCCTCTGAGCCCAGAGAGGATGTGCTGGAGATGGAGGAGCGACGGCTGCTGCAATCTGAGGCTAGAGGAGAGCAACTTGGAGACTGAAAGGAAAAAGAAAGAAAGGGTAAAAAAATCTATCAAGGCTGATGCTGTAAATGCAAACACCCCACACTTTAATTGAAATACAGATGTATTAACAGCTTCCTACAGGCACATATACTTCTTGATCTAATGCATTATACAAATGATGGTATCTGCTACATTGAGCCAGAAAGCTTTGAATTACAGCCACACTGAATCTTTTTGATGGTAAAATAGATGCAAGTTGAGAGGGATAATCTTGCACTTTGTTTCTGTAAAAAATCGACAGTGTTACTGTTCATGCTGCTCTGCTGTATCTGATCCTGACCCTTTATACTGAATGATTTAATAAGAGTCACTCATTCTAACCAGTGATGGAGGAAGTATTATGGTCTTACACTTGTGTAAGTTTAGCTACCCCGCAAAAGTAGCTTTACTACCTTGCATAAATGTTGTATTATAAATAGAAGTCTTGCATCTGGAATTTGACTTCTTGACCTCCTGACATCTACATTTGCCTGGTAATGGCCAAGATCAGCATCGCTAACTCTCACACAACTCTTAAAATCAGTCATTCTATGTTTTGTTTGACTTTATCAAGCAGCTGTCTGTCACACAGCAGCAGGATCTGTACAGCAGCCCAACTTACACGAAGCAGAGCAGCTTTATATTTGTGGCACAGCAGGCAGGGCAAGCTGCTACGGGTAGATTCACAGCATGCAGTATTTTCATTTTTAGCACAAGCCCAAATATCATTTTCTCCAGAGCATCATCGCTTTCCCTTCTGTTGTATCAAGCGGATTGTTAAAGGAGTTTCCAGGTTTGCTGCTACACATTGTGGACCTAACAATCAATGTATTATTTATTATAAAGTCAAAACATATGTTTATGTATGGCCGCAACCATAAATGAAATGCAAAAAATTAATAAATAATAGGACTTAAATTTGGCACTGCAGGGCTCACAAATGTAAAATTAATCTCTGCTAGTGTTGCTTGGTTTGTCAAAATTGTTAGAAGGAAGCTGATTATCGGGAACACGTCAGGAAAAAGGGATAGAAATGTAGAGAGTTTTCCTATGAAATAAAGAGAAACATAAGTGAAGTGAATGTAAAATTCCACCAAACTTAAGGTGGAGGAAGCAGACGCTATAGCTGTAGATTGTAGTACTATCCTCAGAAACTTCTGTTGTTGTTAGTAAAGGGGTTTATTTTGGGGTCATATAAACATTTGTCATAATTGTTGTGATGTCAGAGATCTTTCTGATGAAGACATGAGAGCAGGTGACACTCACGTCTACTCCACTGCCGCTGCGCTGACGTCCGTTCTGAGTCGACTGCAACAACATGACAATCTACGGGGAAATAAAACACACACACGGATGAATAATACAACTGAAATGTGTTTCACTTTGTTCATGTGCATAATAAAAGGGATTTTTTCAGGAAGTTGTTGCAGAATCTGTTGAGATTTTTACAGCTAATGATCATAATAACACTCCTTGCAGTGCTTTTGAGAGAAGCATGTTCAAGAAAAACAGTTATGGCCCGTCACTGGCCTGGGAGGTTGTATTAGAGCCTCGAGCCATGGAAGCAAATGCTCGGCCCTCTCTACTTCCCTGCCTTGCCTATACACACCGTTGCTGATGGTACGAAGAGGACAGAAATGTAACGGAAAGAGAGGCCATCAGGAACCATAGAAGAAATTAGTAAGCCCTTAAAATCAATTCTAAAACATACTGGGAGCCAGTGTAAAGAGGCTAAAGCAGAAATGATATAGCTCTGAGGTCAAACTCAGACCACCAAGTTTGAAATCAGTCGATCAGTCAGCTCTGTTCCCTCGACCCAGCCACTCAACTCTGGCGGTTCCTGGAAACACCTACAGTTGATCGGATTAGCTTAATTTCAGCGCTCTAAAACATGGAAACAGTGTCAGTCTGGCTAGAGTGGACATTGCCTTGATTTATTTTTTCCTTTAATGGTGTGTGATCAAAAGCTTCAATTAACTCACTCTGTGCGTCGGTTGCCATCTTTAATCAACTTGACTGCAATTGTGGTGATGCAGAAAACTGCTTCAAAGGTTAACACTTAATGGATCTCCCTGAAAGCTTGGCTTAAGACATTAAAAGTTTCTCTGTGATGTTAAATATTCATGAATAAGTCAGTAACATAAAAGTTAATATTGAAATAAGGACCTGAATATTACATTTGATATTTTTTACTTTGTCATTGTGGGCCACTGAGTGTTGATTGATGATGAAAATGGCAGGTTTCCTTCTTTAAAATAAAATCTACAAAGCAAAGTGAGTGGGAAAAAAAGGGGTGTCAATACTTTCTGGATTCAGTATGTTGTTAGGGCATTTAGGTTTCCCGCATCTCACATCCAGAAAACAGTCTTATGATTTATTCTGTGCTATTTTTATAACAGGAAAAACATGTATTTTGGCTTTACGGTCTATATGGAATGCAACAGCTGCTCTCTTTGGATTTCTGACTCTACGACAGTCCAAAGTTATAAGTTCAATAAATGTTCACAGCTTTTGGAACAGCAAACTTTGAGGTGATAACCTTCACAAAGTCACTAAGAGGAACAAGTATGTTAGAAGTAAGTGGATTATTAAGCTCAGTATTTCTGCACTTTGGATGACGCTGTGTTCAGTTTAGATGGGCTTGTCTCAAATCTCAAAGAAACCTGAGCCAGCCTCAGTCCAGAGTTTTGTGCTGACGTGGAGTTCAAAATGTAGAAAGGCAACATCCTGCAAAGTGAAAAACCAGCAACTGGCTTCCTTTTTTTTGCTGAACAGCTGGTAAAGTACAGCATTTGGTAACAAACATGTCAACATTTTGGTGCAGTTCCTCTTTGTCTGCCAAGCCTTATGCTGCTGACCTTGGAGTTGAGTGCACACTGCAGTGGTGACTCTTTGCTCCTGTTAAGGATGTGGGCACTGGCTCCGTTTTCCAGCAGCACCTGGATGATTCCCTCGTAACCCCAGCGGGCCGCCATGTGCAGCGCTGTGTCACCTTTATCGTTCTGAAGGTCCAGACGACACGTTTGGACATCATAGTACACCAAGGCCTTCACACACTGGCAAACATAACACACAGCATGACCACCATTAGAGAGAAATCTTCTTCCCAGGACACACGGAAAGGGATTTTCTGACCCCTGACAGTCATTCACATTATTAATGAACTTATCCATCTATCATATTTTGCAAGATTTACTTTAAATGTCTAATTTAAGAAAAGAAAGAAAAATTAAGTTACCAGATCCAAAATCAAAAGCAGCCAACTCAAAAGTAATTCTTTTCTAATTACATACAAAGTGTTTTTCTGTCATGTTTGGTTCTTTTATCACTACAAGAAGCTGAAATGATCAGAGTTGCTCTGAAATTACAGAAACAAAACGAATGTTTATGTTGCTGTGTTTGAAGGAACCTCAAGACTGATGAATAAATCTAATGCTCTGGACTGAAATGGTTGGAGTAAGAAAAGTTAGTGATTGACGTACATCCTCATGTCCATACATGCAGGCGAGGTGCAGAGGAGTGTTGCTGTTGTTGTCCTGAGCGTCTGTGTTGGCCTTGTAGTGCAGCAGCAGCAACTAGAACACAGAAACAAAGACGGGACATAAGTTGGACCTACAATGTTGTTGTACAGTGTTATAGCCTTTATTTTTTCCTCAAAGTTATTACAGGCTTTGCATAGAGTTCATTAGTTTAGGTTCGTTTTCCATGTGAATAATCTCTTTCTACCTTAAAACGCCTTAGAAGTAACTCTAGTCTGCTGCCTCTTGTTGAAGAAGTGTCTATCTCTCTGTCCACTGACCCATCCCCACTCAGCAGCTCACCTATGACACACTGCTCAGTGAAACTACACTACACTGCACAATGCCAAGCTGGAATACGAGACTGGACAGTCAAACATGCTGGAACTGGAAACTGATTCCAAGGAGGAAAAACGATAGAGTCCCACCCTGTAAAGAAGGAGACAATATTGTTTTGCTATGTATGGAATCCTGGAAGTCTGATTCTCTGTTTTGACACTGTCATCAGTACACTGCAGTTTCAAGGTGGAAATTCTTAACAATGGTACTGACTGCTTATGTTGCTCATGCTGTGTTTTCCAGTGTACAAAAAAAACATCTTTTTAACATGTTAACAAGGTGAAAAACTTTATTTTCACTGGAGAACATGCTTAAGACTTATTAACAGAATGAAATACAATGCTTGCAGTCATACAAACCAAAGTATGAGAGACATCAATGAACACCAAAAGGCTTGGTTGACATTTATATTATCTTTTCCCAATATCTCCAAGCAGTAGCAGTCACGAGTCAGCATGCCATGTGACAGTGCATGATCAACTGGTGACACCATGGGAAAGGGTGCATTTCTGACTCCAGCAGGGAGCTCAAACTTCATATTCTACGTCAGTCAGCAGGAAGATGATCACTAGTGACCAAACAGGAGTTTTAACAGGGGAAGAACAGGAGTTTCGAGAACCGGAGAATCCAGGTCGGGTTTGGAGCACACCTGAGACGTGCTCATCGTTTTCTTGGTTGTGCACCATGAATGAATCCCCCAGGGTGGACTGTAGAGGCACAATTTTTCTGTCACATCCTGAGGTGTTTGAGGGAGAATATTTGGTGCAACTAAACTGAACTGTACGTGATGGCATGTGCTGGGTGGCCAGGCACAGTTCAGCAATGATTGTGCACAAGTTTTTGACCATAACATTCCTGTTGCTCCCCACCGACTTTACTGTCGTTCTCTTTTCAGAGTCAGCGGCCATTGTAGATGATGGATGATATTCTTTTGTAAAAGCATGACTAGTGCCATGAACACTTTACCACTGCACACAGAGGTCACTTTAAGAGGATCTAGGCCAAATTGAAATCAGGTATGTTTTTTTTATTTTTATAGGCACAGTCTGAACTTTTGTTCTTCCCTTGTAGAAGTACTAACTAATTAAAATAAATAAATAAATTATGAATTTTACAATAAATGAGTGGTCCTTAAGAACAGGATGGCTTTTTTTTTTAATGACATTAAAAGCAAGTAGCATCATTACTTATAGCAAGCTAGACAAATTGCCTTTTTTCCCCCCTTGTTTTCCTTTTCCTATCTAATGATAATGGGCGCTGCTCACGCTGGCTGACTTGACAGCTTCTCCCTCCTGTCTCCCTCTGTTATTGGTCACTGTCTTTTTATGTTTCTTGGACGGGATGTAACTGTAAAATACAACTTTCCTGAGGTACTCTACCAAAGGGATCAATACATTTCTATTTAATCTAATCTATTTTAGTATCTTCCCTACTAAAATCCTGGCACTCTGCAATGAGGCCACACTTTTTTTTTTAAGTTGTATGTCATGGGATAATAATCTTTTTAAAATAATCTTTTGTTTAGTCTCTCATGATTCTTTAGTATACTACTGTACTGTAAATGCAAACAAAAAGCTGGTATGCAAAGGAATTGCAAGTATCTAATAATATCCAGGTACGTGGCCAGCATGAACACATAAAAGCTGGTCATTGATAAACGTTAAGTTAAACAAAAAGCATCGAGGTGGTGGAATAACAGCCACATGATAAATTCTGCATAATGTCTATTTCTACAGAATCGTGTGCTCACTGAGACTCCCTGGTATCCACGCTGGCAGGCCAGGTGCAGTGGTGTCAGGGCATGGTAGTCTGTGGCATTGACTGGAGCTCCTTTACGAACCAGCACGTCAATCAGCTGGGCCTGACCTGACACAAAGCAAACACACAGGTTGATTTATCATTCTTATGTGTAATTATGTTACATGTATGGCTCACAGTATTAAACAAATTCATATTACATTCTCTGTGTGATCTGCTCACCACAGACAGCAGCGGCATGCAAAGGCGTGTAACCTCGGTCATCCCTGGAGAACGGCGTGATGATGGACGGATCATTCAACCGTCTGAAACACAAAGTCAACAACCAGTTGGTTTATAACATTACTTAATGACTGGCTTAAATAGAGACCGGCAATTAGGATGGAGCAGCCCAAGAGATTTTGCAATCAATGGACTCACAACAGAGCAGGAGTTGTACCTCCACAACACACTGGAGCAAACTATACCTGGTAAAGTCCCATTAGCTTTTTGGAAATTAAAGTTCCTGGAAAGTTTGGTATAAAAAAACACTATGATCTTCCTGTGTCCTACAGTATTTCACCGTTGTTCTGCCTATTTCCACAAGAAACGCAAAAATTCTGATGTGCATGTAGCCTTAAACTGAAATGTATTTCACGAAGTGTGTATATATTTGTTGTTTCACTGTTTGTAAAATGGCCCTAAATACCCTTTGTGTGTGTGTGTTTTTATGTGTGTGTGTGGTTGTGTAAGGTGGTGGAGGTAGTGTGGACTTGTACGGACCAATTTTGACTTTGCACCATATTTATGGGGACATTTCACAGGTTGTGAGGACTTTTAGGGTGGTCCTGAAGCGGGAAGTGAAACTGCTTTTTGTTCCTAATTCACAGTTCTGATGTAGGACAAAATGAAGAAAAGGGGAAATTATGTTTCGTGGAAGAGAAGAAAATAGTAATCAGGTATTCCCCGAAAACATTGCAGCACAATTTCACTTATAATGTACGCAGTGTGAATAAAAAAGAAACACGACATTTGTTGCTGATCACACAATTCAGCAGCCACACAGTAATGACGTACATCACAGTGTTGCCCAACATCTCAACACTGTATGAGAAAAGCATCACTTCACTTGATTGATCAATCTGCTATCTTTCTTTTCACAGGATTGTTGCTAGCTTCAGTCAAGTGCCCTCTGTCACAGAATAAACCTTGACCAAAGGACTAACTTTAAGTTCTTGGCTAACTTGGGAAAAACTCAAGCAGAAACTTTTGCTATGACAAAGGACATGTATGAGGAGCAAATAATGTCCACAGCTGTGATCTACTTCACGCTACTTTTGGCATCTAACAACAGAAACTGAAAAATACGGAACTGAGATATGGTGAATATAGCTGCATTAAAACAGAAAGAGTGAGGAGGACAGACCAGAACAACACTGTGCTTCCATCTCACAGCATCTGTTTGTGTCAAGACAGTCAGCAACAAATAAAACAGAGCATTAAAATGACTATTACATCTATTTTTACTAAATACCAGATTTTCATGCCTCAGAGTCGGCTGAAAAGAAAAACAGACCCCACTCATGAGGACAGGGCACAAAGGACAGCTGTGCAGACGTTTGTTGTGGACACTTTAAGTCAAGGTGATTTAAAGCTCCTTCTATATTACTTGTGTTTTTTCTATGTGTGTGTCTGGATACTGACCCGGACAGCTGGAGGTCACAGAAGTCACAGGAGCAGAGGGGGTGGCACATCCTGACGTCCTCATCACCCTCTCCTTCACTCAGCAGACGTTCCACCTCAGCTTCGTTTCCATTTGCTATGTGCTATACACACACACACACACACACACACACAATGAGAGAAACTGTGACCCCTGCAACAACCCCTAAATTTCTTTCATGACAACAGGACGATGCCAGAAGGACACCAGGAAATATTCCCAACACCATTCGGCTCCATTCATTTCAGTGAGGAATGCGTTGACAACACATACCTCCTGAATCAAAGCAACAAAATCCAAAACTGAGCAATGCACAGCAGAAGATTTAAGCCGTGTGTAGCATTTGGCACGAATAGAAGATTTCAAGAAAGAACTTCAGATAATTTCATCTTTACAAATATGAGAATTTGCCTCCCTTCTTTATATACTTAGTCTCAAGTAGCAAACTAAAGATCAATTTGGTTTTGGACTGCTGATGAGATTCTAAAAAAGACATCTGACAGCTCCCTTAAATGAAAGTTCATTAACTTGTAACTCTTTGTTCTGCTGCTGTTCTTCACATCCTAGCCCGACAACCATTTAGCATATTAGTGAACTAACAGTGTTAACAGTGGATGATTCCACTACCATGGCAATGCGCCAACAGCGTAATGCTCAAAAAAGAGGGGGTGGAGGATTCACTGATTTATGTTAATACAAGCTGTCATGAGTCTTTGAGCAGCAGCACTTGGTTTCCATTACAGGTACATCTGCATTCAAGTCAGCATGGACCCCGAGTTTAGTTCAGTGACTCCAATGGATTGTGTGATTCAGCAGCTGCAGAGTGTTGCAGCTCACCTCAAACAGACAGTGGATGGGCATGGCAGCGCTCTGAGACAGTAGACTCATCCTCTCTTTGAACAGTGCCTTGTCGTTGAGTTCGCCTGAGCCCTGAGGGAAAAGAAAACAAAAAAGACATCAATTATCTTCATTACTGTCAAACAGCTGCTGAGATACAACACCGGAATGGCAGAATATAATTTGTCTCACAGAGTGCGTGTCCTGAAGCTTTCCCAGGTTGATGTACTCCACTGCAGCCTCGAAGGTGCTCAGACAGTAGCTGAGCTCATCTTTACTGGACTGGCTGAAGCAGAAGTTCCTGATGTAGCTCAGGTTGGCCATCCTGAGGACACACAACAATGAATTTCAAGATTGAAGCCGGTACACAGCTAATCCCTGTCAAGCAATTTTCAAAGTGAACTAACCACACTGAAAGAGCATTGTCAATGACCAAAGTGGAGCTTCTGACTGAGAGCTCTGACTCGTATGCTCCATGTCAAGCACTTTAAAGCAAACAATTTCTTCCCTGTTATTGTTTAAAATCCTTAATACACAGTACCAGTCAAATGACTGGACTCTACTACTGCTTTACGGGTTTTTCTCTATTTTTACTCTATTTTTACAGTGTAGAACAAAACCAAGGACATCAAGACTAACATGAAGAATTCTGTGGTGAAAAAAAGCAAAGTAAGCAGAACTATATACAGTTTGTATAATTTGGATTCCTTCAATAAGCCACTGTTTGTCTTGATGACAGCTATGGAGACAACTCGCAAAATCTTAACATCTCAACCATGAGCTTTACCCCTGGAACGGTTTTGTCTCCATAAAAGACAGTGAGTATGTGGTCAGAGTACAACTCTTGTTTCCATTTTCAAACAGAATTTTATTTCAGCCAGTGTTTTATTTCAGTTACTAAGTCACAGGTCAAAGTGAATGTCCCTCCATGCTCACCAGTTGGGAATTTCCGTCTTCACCAGCAGATAAAGGACGACAGAGAGGAGGTCATCTGCACTCACAGCTTCTATACTGACTGCACAGAAAGGCACACATTTAGTCACTGAAAATTACACTGAAGCAACTTACAAAAATAACAGTGATTATTTTCACTCAGCTGTCCTGCCCGGTTTTCATCTTTGCTATGTTGTCCTGATGCTGCTGGACACTTTACCTCTGTCCAAACCTAATGACTAAATTGGCCTCTTGACAAACATCAATTAGGAGTGCATAGCACTGCTCTGCAGACTGACAGCGGGGCTACTGTGAGCCAATAAGCTGGGATTTCCAAAGCAAACTGGACAAACACATTAGAGGCGACAGAGTACTGACTGTCTTGTCTGCTGATCTGATTACACTCAGCAAGGCCTGTCCCAAGATGTGACCGGTTGACTTGATCTGACTTTACGGAATATGGCTGATAACACTGATAATCCTTCACTTCACTGAATTACATATTTCATACGGTGGCTTTCCTTATATGAAAAATAGAAGATAAAGACATTTATCTTACATTGTCAGACCTCTGCACATGAATGCCATTTTGTTCACGTGACTACAGCTTTTGTTTCCTGGTGGTTTTGGACTGTTTTCAAGAAATGTGTCTGAGCTGAAAGTGATCTGATTAGCTTCTCTAACAGAGTGTAGAAGTTGAATTCAAGCGTGCTTAATTTGTCAAACACGATCCGTGACTATATGCAAGCCTGAATAAATGACTTGGACATTGTGCAAAAGGCATGGGTGAAAAAAAAAGCATCTGCACAGTGAGGATGCTTTCAACATACACGAGTGACGGGAGTAAGTGATCTTTGCCTTAAAAACAGGACCAGTTCTTCGAGACACACTTGCACAGTTTTTTAAGGTATTTAGCAGGTATGTTGTTCTAAGACAGAGATTCTCTTCATGTAATCCCACACTGACTCTATGATGCTGAGATCAGAAGTCTGTGGGGCCAAACCATCTGTTGCAGGACTCTATGTTCTTTATGACTACGTGTATGTCTAAGCTTGTTGTCCAGTTTCAGGATGAATCTTGGATGCCTCCCTGACGGGTAATTATCTGTCTCTCAACTTTATTTCTTCACTCATTCTCACAATTTTCCCATTTCTACTTGGAGAAATGCAGCACCAAACCTGCCAGAACCCTGCCCCATGCTTCATGGTGGCCTGCTGTCTTCTGTTAGAGCCAAATATTTCAAATTCAGACTCGTCAGTCCAGTTGAATGGTGGCAGAAATGAAGCTCAACTCAACAGTTCAATGTGGCTAAACTAGTGTAATTTCCGGACTATAAGCCGATACTTTTTTCCACACGCTTTGAATACTGTGGCTTTAACAATGATGTGGCTATTTTATGGATTTTTAAAATTTTTGCAAATTTGCCTCGAGACGAAAGTGACATTGAGAGCGACAACGAAAGAGAGACTGAGGAAGTGTGTGACGAAGGAATTGTGAGGCTGTTCAATTCCGACACTGAAGAAGAAGACATTAGTGGTTTCAGTGTGCAGGAGGAAGATGAAGACAGTGATCATGACTTTTCCTGGTAGGCTACTGTATATACACACATACACTACCGGTCAAAAGTTTTAGAACACCACATTTTTTCCAATTTTTTACTGAAAATTATTCAGTTTCTTGTGTCATTGCATTCTGAAATGAAAGCATAGAACAAACAAGCAATTTTAGTTGAAAAATAAATCATGGAATCAATTTATGGACCAAAATATATTCCAAACTTTTGACTCATCAAAGTAGCCACCTTTGGCAGATACAACAGCTGAACACACTCGTGGCATTCTTTCTACAACAGAAATCAAATATTGTTCAGAAAGTTCTTCCCAAGTCTGTTGTAGAAGTTCCCATAAATGTGTGGCACTTGTAGGCTGCTTGGTTTTCACTCTTCTGTCTAGTTCATCCCAAACCAGCTCGATGGGGTTTAAGTGTGGAGACTGTGCTGATCACTCCATGTTTTCAAGCTTACCATCTTGTTCTTTTTTCCTGAGGTAGTTTTGGCATAGCTTGGACTTGTGTTTTGGGTCATTATCTTGCTGTAGGATGAACCTCTGACAAACTAGGTGCATACCAGAGGGTATTGCATGGTGCTGCAGAATGCTGTGGTAGCCATTTTGGTTCAGGGTACCTCTGACTCTGTACAAGTCACGGACCCTGGATCCAGCAAAACAGCCCCAGACCATCACACTCCCTCCTCCATGTTTGACAATTGATGTCACACACTGAGGAACCATCCTCTCGCCTACTTGACGACGTACAAAGATCCTGTGTATTGAAGCGAAGATTTGAAATTTTGAGTCCTCAGTCCATAATACCTTTTTCCAGTCTTCAGTAGTCCAATGGCGGTGTTTCATGGCCCAGGAGAGCCTCTTTGTCTTATTCTGACGTCTTAGCAATGGCTTTCTTGCTGCAACTCGTCCTGTCAAACCTGAAGCTCGAAGTCTTCTCTTCACAGCTGAAACTGAAACTTCCTTACTATGACCACTATTAAATTGTGCTTGAAGCTGTTGTCCTGTGAGCCGCCTATCACGCAAGCTGATAACTCTCAGAAACTTGTTCTCTGATTCAGTTGTGGCTTTGGGTCTGCCAGACCGCTTCCTGTCAGAGTTTCCCCCAGTTTCTGAGTGCCCTTTGATGGTGATGAAAACTGTACTCACTGACACCTTGACTTTCTTTGCAATTTCCCTGTAGGAAAGACCTCCATCTTTAAGTGTTATGATGGTCTGTCTCTCTTCCATTGTTAATTGCCTTTTTCTCTNTTTTATTTTTTTATCCAGCCGTGTTACAAGCACTGTTCGGAAAAAAGCATCAGCGTCACGTATTTGTTACTGGTACGTATTTAACAAAAAGTTACAAAAATCTTTCTGTGTAACATCTTTCTGTGTCAGTATCTTATGTTACAGCGAGGACACCTGCGGCTTATAGACAAGTGTGGCCTATATACGTACATTTTCTTTTTCTTTTTAAAGTTAGTCGGTGCGGCTTATATTTATTTATTTATTTTTCCTTTATTTAACCAGGTAGGTTAACTGAGAACAGATTCTCATTTACAACAACGACCTGGCATTAAACAGTCCGAAAATTACGGAATTAAATTTAACTTATCAACTTAAATTTATCAGCCAAACATCTTAATGACTTTTCTTCTGATCCTGGAAGGGAGCAAAGAAAACCAGAGAACATGGAGATTTAACCCTCTGAACTCTAAGCAGCATTCACAGTTTTTCACTGTATTATGAAGTCCTGCACCTTGATGGAAACAGCATAACCATGACTACAAGAAGAGAGAACTCAGAAATGTCTTCTGCATTTTTGTAGGTGCCCCAGGTGTTAGGAACACTGGAATCATGATGACTTTACATATTAGAGATATTTTAATATGTGAAGTTTAATTTGTATTCGTAGAGACAAAGACAGGCATACACACTCACACACAGAGGACCTACCAGTGCGTCTGGGGGTCTGCGTGGCGGTCAGGGCGACTCTGCGCAGGCAAAGCAGCTTGAGGAGGGGCGATGTCTGCTGGTTCAGCTGACTCAGGTCCCTCTTTGCCCTAGACAAGTTTATACTACAGAAACATAGCAGTAGGTCAGCAATACCAAAACGGTCTTTAGTCTGGAGACAAGAAGTAAAATCAGGTTTGATGAGAATGAAAACAATTTAATAAAAATCCTTTTCACAAGGTCCACAGTCACTAATTGAAATTCCACACTTAAGTCATGTGACACCTCGACAAATTCTATGTACCGTGAAGACCATAACATGTGGTACAAATCTCTGAGAACTGCAAACTATGCTGCCTAAGTTTCATTTAGGAAATGTTTAAAAGGGAACTAAACATTGGCAGACAGGATGCAGACTCATCTGGACTCACCTTAAATTCATTCAGTGGTTGTGTTTTAATAACATATGTGTTCATTAAAGGTTCTTAATGTACTGATTTCCTTCTAACTGCAAACCAAGTATATTTTGTGTTATAGCTTATGATTTTTTAAATTTGCAGTCTACACTGTACCCTCCTTTTTCTGGCAATACAACATTTTCATGTTTATGCTTGAAGAAAGGACAGTTCAGAAAGCGATGGAGTGTTGAGGTCACTGTGAACACTGACGTTTGAGTCTGGCTGCACTTGCTGTACGTTGCTTTTGAACAAAAGCATCTGCCAAGTCAATGAAATGTGAAAGCAGCAACCAAATTCACACACTCCTTTTCAAGACATCCACATCTGCTTGTTATTTATCTTCTGGGTTAAATTATTTGTATTTTTTAAATTAAATTGGCATATGGCACTGCTCCTTAATGCATTGCTTTGTAGAGAGGTTTTGGACATGTGACATACTTTCAGAAACATTACTAACACATAAAGACGACTTAATGTGTCTGTGAATCTTGACTTTCGGATCAATAAAAGATCAAGCAATTCACTAGAGCCACAAAGATAAAGCATAATAACAAGAAGATGTTCTTTAGTACACAGACACATTACCTTTGCCAAAGTAATTATGACTTCCTTATCTCATGTAACCAAGACCTTCTACCCTGAGAAAGGATCGCACCATTACGAGATCTGGATCTCATACATTCAGTTACACTCTGGCCTAAAACTCAGGCCATGCATTTTTAACATTTGTCTACACTTCAACAAAAAAGTATGCTGAATTAGCCAGTAAACATTCCTATTTCCTATTATCAGTGGTTTACTTTGATACTGGGGAAATTTTAAAAAAAACTGATGACTCTCAGGAAAGCTCCAATCTATTACTCCTACGTGGGTTTATGAATGCTACTTGGAAGGGACATCAGAGGTAGAATGTGGTTCTGGGTGTTGCAATGTTGGGTCAGCCAGTCAGTCCTTGACTTTGGTTCAAACTGAAATATATTTACTGAACAGACTGTAGCCTTTTTCAGACTATGGAACATTTCTGCTTCATTAATATGTTAAAGGGAAAACGTCCTGTCATTCAGACATAGGTCACTTTTGCTTCAATGTTCTGCACAGCTTCGTTCAGAGAATTTCTCACACAAACAAGATTGTTCAGTATACCAAGTGATGTACAATATATAATTGTGCATGAATAAACTCAAGACTAGAGCTAAACTAACAGCTTCTTATCAAACCGTCCAGAACAGCCGAGCCTATTTATGACTTCCTATACACTGAAAATCATGTCCATGTGTGCTGATAATCTAACTACTGTTTTGCCTAGAGTATCATAAAAATATTCTGACAGCTGTGATGGAGCTCAGGACTCAACCTGAGGGCAGACGCTGTCCAACAAAATATTTGTAAACTGTGACTTGTGCCGTGTTGAATCTGATACAGAAATGTTCCTAGGTCCGCCCCTGTCAGACTGCAGTGCGACTGTGACATAAAGCCAACACTTTCCGTTGTCGTCAGATTATTGGAAATGAGTGCATGTCTAAAATGGGACTTCCTGTTTTTGTACCTGCTGCTTTCTGCCCTCATTTCTCTCTCTATGCCTCCCTTACAGTTCACACCTGACCTGTGAACTTCAAACAAACAAGAGATCAGAAATATAACAACCACCCAGAACCTGATTTATCCACCACCCTCTGTCTCCATCACTTGACTTTGTGAATAGAACCATATTGTTTATAATGTTGTACTCAGATCAGCACCTCATAATTATTAGTGGTTGTGTGTGTGAGATATGGAAGTCAGAATTGTAAGTTACAGTCTCCACTATTTCTTTTGTAACTACAATGCTATTTCATCTGAAGCTGTGACATGTTGAACTGACCAGAACTCAGGTTTGACTCCCAGGTCCTTTTGCTGCAGCTCCTGCAGACTCCTGGTGGTTTTGTTGAAGGCAGCATCCTGTTGATGAGCAGCAGTAGACAAGTGAGGGTGTGACACTGCTGTTACAACACTAACAATGGCACTAACTTCCAACTGCTGCTGCATTAATCATTGACAGCAACAACAAAGAGAGACACTGATGGAAAATAAATATGGATGAATTTAAGGAAAATCTTCTGATCTCCTTTAGTTCATCTCACAAATTAGTTTCTGCTAGAGTCTGAGGCTGTGTTCTGTTGCTTCATTTAGCTGCACTACAAGACACGTTCCAGAAAAAGTCCTCCGTTTGATCAGTAAAAATACTGATTGCTGAATATTTTAAAATGTCAACTCCCCCAGAGCTTCTGGTGCCACACCAGCTGCTGAGTCAGCAGTGTGGTGAACATCAGTAACAAGCAGATTTTCTTTTGGTTTTCATACAGCTCAAGTACTGTACTGAACAGTGCATCCAGTTAGCTGCAGCACCTGCACAGGAATTCAGCAGAAGGCAGTCATTTCATTTCTGAAACATACATTTTTAGATCACCATGTGTAACCCTACCTGGCTAGCTTCAAGCGTTCCCACAAAGTTAAAGATTAAATCATGGATACCATGATGAACATATATCTGGAAAAAGAAGATAAACAATGTTGAAATATTGGTGTCAGACACAATCTGGAAGCCGTTTACACAAAAGACTTGTTTTAGTTATACCAGGCAGAAATGATATAGTTTTTTGCCATTTATAATGATAATAAGAAATACATATTTGCAAGTAGATTGTTGTGGGCTGACCTATGCTCTGTATTAATTTAATCCATTAAAATACCTTAATGCCATAGGCTACATCACATGCATGAGCATTACAAAGACAATGTTTGGATGAGGTACAAAAACAACAGTTTAGGCATACTTCTCCACTGCTGTTGACATCTGTCTTTCAGATTATACATTCCAAAGAACTGGAGGTCAACTACTGATCTACAGACCTGTACTCATTTATAAAAAAAAAAAAAGACCTTCATTTTCAGCTTTACATGGAAATATTTATCTGTCTCTCTGAGATGTTCTTCATGAAATGTGCTTCAGCAGCAACTTTAATCTAAATCCATAAATACATCGTCTTTACTGAATCTAGAGAGTGAAGATGATTATAAAAGAAACAGAGTGATGTCACCTCCACCGCCTGTTTGAGAAGAGTCATCTGAAGCTCCTGCTTAGCCAGAAGTTTCTGAAGAAAAATAACACAATCATCAGACCAGTAAATGCAAAGAAATGCATTAGTCACTGCTAAGGATAAGGCTTAACTTCTCCTGTTACTGTGATTAGCCAGAAAATAGACCAGAGACAAGGGTTTCACACATAACGTAATATGAATACAGAGGGTCTACCAATACATTCTGGTATCCTGTGGCATCACTACTCATATACGTCATCTTTGCACGCCACACATCACATTATTTAAAAGGCATGACTTTTCAGTTCATTCAGGGTTATGTTATGGCACATTTTTCAGTCATCTGCTACACATTCCTGTTTCAATCAATCCAGCTCTCTTAACGGCTCATGTTTTGCTCACAGTACACAACCATAATAGCACGTCATAGCATACTTCTATGCTTTAACTCTATTTTTACAGTGATCGTCTATTTAACTCTGGGAACTTCTACAGCACATGTGATCTCGGTCCACAGTACTGCACCTGGACACACCTTGTGTAACCACGATGAAGCGGCTCTGCTAACATGCTGCTCATACTACATCTTCTGTGGAGACATGGCCTTCATTGTTTCCCCGTTTCTTTTAATTATGTCTTACAGATATCCTAAACATCAGACTACTACTACGTCTTCTCAGCAAATTCATAATTTGATGCATGACTGCTCAGTCTGAAAGTCCAAAACTTACAGGTGTATCACGGACAACATGCACTCTAATCATCAATAAGTGTCAGTAACAAAATGTGACAAGTTCACATCATGAGCTGTGACAGTAATGAATAATTCCAGTTTATTTCAACCTGGCGTACTTCTCATTGGTGTGGTTTTTATTGTACAGCTTTTAGATAACTTTTAACGTGTGTTTTCAAGCCTTCAACAGCTACATGCAGTGGTGGCTGTTCACACGTTGTTTTGTGCTTTTCGTGTCTGGTGCAAAATTAGCATGGCCCATGGAGCCACAATAGCCTCATTATTGGAAAACACACCAGAAATAAACTTCAGTTATCCTCAGAGAGCTAATGTTCCTTACAGCTTCATTCAGATTCAAATTTATGTTGTTTCAAGTAACAATAATCTGGTTTCCAGGTATCCCTCTGTATCTCAAGTTTCCACCTAACACCTTCCATTTTCGTCATCAGTCTCCAGTGTAACATGCTGACAGCTGGTCCTGCAGGTTGGTTTCTACTCACCAAGCGAGAGTCTCTGAGCAGACACTGAAGACATTTAGTGTAAAGACTGTTGACTGAATCCTGATAGGAGAGAAGACAGAGGAGCTATCAGTACTGCTGCTCTAATCCCTTGTTAAAATTCTTCAGAAAAGTCAAGTGGAAATACTGGCAACAAAGATATTAATGCAAAGACAGTTTAAGAGTTTGTCGTACTATGTGGTGTCGGAGTCCCTTCCTCTCGTGCTCTTTGAATGCCTGACAGAAGCTGTGGATGAACTTGTCCAGTTTCTGGGCATGGCGGCCCAGGAACTCCCTGACATCCTCCAGGCTTTTCAGGCAGTAGGGGGGAGGGGAGCTGACTTCGGCTGGGCTCGAATCCACCTCCATGGGCCTGGAGATGCACAGGATACTGTAGCTCTGCTCCTGGTCATTGTAGAAGGTTTCCTCAAACAGAATGGGGACAGACACGGGACTCGGGGAGCCGAACCCCAGCAGAACCTGCCTGTCCTGGATCCTGACCTCCTGTAATACACAAAAAGACAAACACTTCTTGAAAAGTCAGCTAAATAAAGTTAACATACCCAAAACATGATCATCATCCCATCAAAAATCTAACATTCAAATGTTTGCAAAGATAATCAGCAATCATTTTTGGTATGACAACACACAAACCAACAATGCATCAGTCTGTCTGTCAATGCTGTCTTTCCTAACCGCCTGTGGCTCCTACTACTGGAGACATCAGCGGTAAAAACAGCTCACAAATAAATAGCTTCATTTTAAAAAGGTCAGTTGTTTCATAAAATAGCTGCTGACTGTAGTTTTACCAAAAGTTGCGACAAAAGGGGGAGAGCCGTCCTTTAACTAGGACTAAGTGCAGCGGTAGATGAATCCTCATGTTCTGTTGTAGTATTCTGAGCAGTCAGATGTGGGATTAGGTCAGAATAAACTACAGTGTGTGTGTTCATGGTAATGAAGGAGCCTTTTACTTATTGATGGGTTTTCAATCGTTTCTGGACAACAATGGAGCTCTGAGGCGGAAATACTGAATAAAGCCAACTTACTCCTTAAAACTGTGTCCCTGAAGATAGTCAATATTAAGCTTCTAAAATACGCCAGCTGTTCGTTAACAGGTAGCTGTTTTTTAAAGTCTTTTAAAAGTGAGGCATGGGACTAACTGTACATTAAAATGTCTCTGATGGAGATGGTGTTTATGGAGCGCAGCAGCGAGACAGGAGACAAACCTTGCCATCCACACTTCTGTATCCATCCTCCACAGCCTGTAGGACATAGCTGTCAAAGTGAGAGTCTGAGTAGCTGCCAACAGTCAAACTTCCACAACAAGGCACCAGAACCTGCAGGTTGTAAGTGACATTGGACAGAAAAAATATAAACAATTGTGCAAATTAAACGGAAGCTCAATGAACAACAGCAGCATCAGATATCAACTTGCGCCTGATGTCAGTCAGTAGAAAATTAACACAAAGAGTGGACTCTTGACTGAAGGAGCTACTGCTAGTGAGTAGTAATACTAAGAGTGATAAGATGGTAGTCTAACAACTGGCTCCTATAAAGGGCCAGAATAAACTAATGTTCTGAAAACATGAACATTTGGATCTGCTCAAAAAAATTGTTGTCTATGTCTTCACCAAAATGCATGGCTCTGGAATTGACATTTTTTGTAGATATTGACAGCTTAAAATGACTTCCCTGAGAAGACATTTTTGAAGGTGAAAATACAAACATTCTTAAGTCTGAAAACATGTTAAACTGAGATCTAAATCTGAGATGGTGCAACAATGTTGCTATCTGAAATGATACAGACTGACCTCATTGTTAACGACAAGGAAGAAGAACATGTCAAGTCATAAATACAACATGTCTTGTTCTCTTGTACCATTGTGCCAAGTACAATGGTAAATCTGTACATTATGCTGCTTAAGTGCTCATCAAAGAGAAAATGCAATTATGAGAAAACTGGGCTTGTTCCATCTACTGATGAAGAGCATGATGTACTTGAAGCTTCAGAAGAAAGTCAAGAATGTCTCAAATTCAGTTAGTGTAGTTGTTGATATAATTGACCCTACAATATGCTTTCAGTGTCAGAGTATTGTGTTAATACATTGCAGATTTTCTGAGCTTTTGGTTTAAACCCCCCACATGGGGGTTACTTGTTATAAACTGTGCAAAATCAATTTTCTAATTTTTAAATTTGATGTACTTCCTGCTACATTCACATGAAGTCCAACATTCACATTTTGACAACATCTGGGCCATTTGAAGACTAAGGATCTAAAAATGTCACAGCCTGTAAACCCCCGATATGTGTATTGTGTCTTGCAAATCTTATTTTCCAGAGGGCTGTACTGCACAGCAAGATCAGTGGGTTAGTCAGAGTTTTCAGTATCACAAATGTGTCTCTCTTTCAACCTGCTAGATGTCCATGGTAACTGATGCTGTGGAGCTAGGTCTCCATGGTAACTGATGCTGTGGAGCTAGAGCTCCATGGTAACTGACTAACTAACTAACCAGACATGTATTTAGTTGGTGATGCAGAAATCACATAAATATGTTTTTATGTGGCCCTGTGTTAGACTGGTGACCTGTCTAGGGTGTCCCCTGCCTTCGCCCTAAGTCGGCTGGGATAGGCTCCAGCCCCCCCGCGACCCAAGTGAGGATTAAGCGGTGTATAGATAATGGATGGATTGATGTTTTTATGTTTGGCTCTGATTTGCCGTCAAGTCTGTTTACTCTGCTGCTACTGCAGCTGATAGAACATAGATTAGAAAATTGATTATTCAACTGGTATTTATTACAGAGAATATTCAATCAATAACATTAATTTCACTTTGATTTGGCCAAAAATTAAGGGGATTTCTTGCATTACGGGACAGTGTAAGACGTAAATGCACTTCAATACAAGATCATGTTTAAATATTTGAAGTTTGAGTTTTAACTGTTTTAACGTACAGCTGTCAATTTGAAATAATCAGCTGCATCGATCAGTAAAATACTGTATATTAACACATGTAACAGTTTTCTACTAGCAGTCTTGTTTTGCACCATTTATCAGCACTTTTTACCCTCATAATTTTTTATATTCCTCATTGTTCTCTATTAAAACAACCTGCTGACTGAAGCAGCTGCACACGATCGTTTAATTTTGTGCAGTCACGTGACGCAACGCCTCCTTTTAGGTGAACAGTTTGAAGCAGAAAGTCTGAGTTAACAAAGAAAGTTGATAACATCCTTCTGATACCTGTGATCTCTGACTAGAGCTTTAGTTTTTGTTGAGTCAACTTACACAAAACAAAGTCTGGATAAGTCAAACCCTGAGGTCAGCGAGATCTGTTGTGAAACATGTATCAGTAGCTTTAATGAAATTAGATATATTTTTCTGTTCTGCTGATGTTTTGACATTTTGTGTTCCGATCATCTGAGTTTCCAGAAGAGTCCTGATGATTCAGACCTGTTGCTGGCCTGAGTTCAGACATCTGATTCTTATCTGCCATTTCAGGCGCCTGATACTCATCGTGCCAAACTAAAATAAGTTTCAGAGAGCCATCTTGCAGTTGTTTAGCTCAGTTGATATTTGCCATCTTTCACTGTGGTTGCACTTCATGTTTCAGTTAATCAGTTACATTGAAACTCTGACCAAACGTAAACAAAACTTCCTCTAATGCTGATACTAATTTGGTCACCTTTGTGCAATAAACTAATTAGAGAAATGTAATGAGAACAAAGTGTGATCGACAAAGACCTGTTTTTAAGACAGGACGAAGTTTGACAGCTAAACAGCGTGATTAGGTTAATTTTGTCTACTCTGACAAGAAAAGAAACCTTATACCTGACAGCTAAACATTTGGCTTTACTTGAAATGCAGCAGGGCTTGTTTTGAATGTCGAATGGTTGAAAATGTATGAACACTGGTAATGACTGGGATCAGGCTGGCCTGCCAACACACTGTGGGAGTATCAGGGATGGGTTTGTATGTAACATGTGCAGAGGACTTAGTGATCAACACGCCTCCAATCAGAGGAGGAAGTGCAAGGGAAATCAGCTGCTGTAGAGTTTTACTGGAAGAGAAACTAGCAGGTATTTGTGGTCAGTTTACACCTGAAAGTTCCAGTCTCCACTGCACTGTTGTATGTTCTCTGTGCAGCGTCACTCCAGTAAGCTTCTTGACAAGCTTTTATTCTCTGCTGGCAGCAGAACATTGACACGACCAATGTTGTCTTCAGTAAGAACCCAGTGCTTGTCTTTTTAGCCAAAAGCCACAGATACTCCCTACTTATGTAACCAAACCGACTGCTGGGATTCAATCAAACTGGAAAATTCTTTTCTGGAAGCTGATTTCCAAATTCAGCTGCGTTAGATGATCACCCAGACACACAGCAGTACTCAGACAGTCAAGAAACAGACAGGCTAGAGTAACATCTGATCAACAACAACAGTAAATACAGATAAAACACACTGGGTAAAAGAAAGGCAATGACTGGAGTTGTGACAGCAGACAAAAGCCAAAATATAGAGAAAGCATGTTCTTGATTGATCTTTTCCTTTGAGAATGCCCTCTCAGCAAGAAGCTGTCCAGTATCATCCTCACCATTAGTCTGTCAACACTCAACCTCTCAATCTAGTGCAAAGCTCTTTTGCCACCAACTGTTTTCAGATACCCTGGTTATAAAATAACAAAGGAACAAGGTGTGAAGTCTAGCTAACTAAAAGGCTAGCAGGTGTGACTCACAATGCCGTGGAGCTCAGCCACTCGGCTACAGAGGTCCGGCCTCTGCTTCTCTAGCGCCAAGTAGAAAGGATTCTTCAGGATGTTCTCATCATATACAGCCATAAGGAGCTGGAGATCTGGATTCTGGAGAGGAAGAAGACGGTGAGAGGAGTGATTAGCATGACTGAACATAGCTTCAAAAAGTGGGAGAGGAGGTTAAAGAACAAGTGGTTTGCTAGGTCTTACTGTATTTAAATCATCTTCGGTTTATTAAATGCTGTAAATTATACTTGTTAAGATTTGAACAAAAGCTGATTATCTTCGAATGGTGGATCGGTGGTTGGCAACGTAGCCTCACAGCTAGAAGATCCCCAGTTCGTCCCGGTTAGGACGCCTGGTATCCTTCTGTGTGTCATGTTTTCCCTGTGCAGCATGGGTTCTCTCCAGGTTCTCCAGCTTCCTCCCACAGTCCAGAAACATGCTGACTGTGTTGGTGATTCTAAATTGTCCATAGGTGTGAATGTGAGTGTGCTTGGTTGTCTCTCTGTGTGGCCCTGTGATAGACTGGTGACCTGTCCAGGTGAACCTGCCTTCACCCCGAGTCCCGAGTCCCGCCCTCCCACCATCCTCGTGAGGATTAATCATTGTAAAGATAATGGATGGATGGATTTAAACAAACTATCTAAGCTCTTTAACATATTTCAGTGAAACATTTAAAGATACAGCAAGTGCAGGAAACCTTTTGAGAAAATGTCCAAGGTTTTGAATTTTACAGAATTCCTAAAGAGGTATTATATATCACAATGTGCTCCAGATTTGAGTACTTGTCATTTAGAACTGAATCAAATTATTGAAACAAAGAAAAAGAAACAGGACTGAGTCTCCGGCCACCGTCACTCTATGACACACAGTTTATTAAACCAGACAGTGACAGCAGCTGAAAGGCTACGGGGTACCCTATGTGATCAAAATTCATCCTAGTGGGGGATCGTCAATGTCTGAATAGAGCTGAAAGGCAGTTCATCCACCATTTGTTCAGACATTTCAATCATAACCACAAACACCACCTTCAACGTTTTTTAAAAAAAAAAGAAATAAAGGACAGAGGCTCACCAACATTAGGATTTATAGTCATAGTTGTGTTCGAAATCACATCATTTTTGCATTTACTTTAAGTTTGTAGTACAGCTGCCCTGACGAGGTGCGTTTCATGCAGTGTGCATACAACTGGGTCATACTACTTTGTCATAATAATGTGCCTCAGTCTTTGACCATCAGAGTCTGAGATACGAATTGAGCTTTCTTCTTTTTTTCCTTTTAGCCTGTGTGCTATCACTGGGTCAGTGTTGATTAAACTCTATATTGCAACATACTAAATCATTTTGGGGCATTCTATATAGTATGGTAGTATGGATAGAATGCAGACAATAACTGCACATAAAGATAGATGAAACCTACATGATGATATTTCCATCTAGCCTAAATTGGTGGACTGATTGAGCATCACTGCATACAGACAACTACGCCACTGCAATGGCTAAAAAACAAGGAACTGCTAACAACATCTGCTGTTCCAACTATAAATAAATAGTAATGGATAGATGATGACAGCGACTGCTGAGTTTCCAAGCAAAAGCATGTGGAAATACTTACAGTTTATCAAAACAGATTTACAGCCAATTACTGATGTTTGAGGAGTGGAAAACAAATCTATAAAACAGATCTTCTGATTTCCTAATGTCTCCCAATTTAAATCCTAAGACAAGCCCTTAATACATGCTTATCACTATTCTTTGAGGCCACCAGGCAAAAAGTCCCTTTCTTTGGTTTCTATAATTGGGCTGAGGGGGGTTATTTTTCCATTAACATTCTCTCAATCTGCAGAGCTCCACTCCTTCAAATCTGCAGTCTGTTATCTGGAAGAAGATTTACCACTTTAACCCTCTATGGCCTTCACAGCTGTGAATGACAGGAGAAACATTCAGCCGACAACTTCTCATTTCTTGACGTCTTAGGGTACAGGTTTGGAAAAAACCATCACTAAGTAGTTTATTTGACTTGGAAAAATGTTTAAAATGTCATCGATGTAAGACACACTTTACTTTTTACTATTTCTTAAATCAATGACACTACAGCAGTGCACATATTCAGTACTGTTCAGTTTAGTTTATCAGTTAGTCAAATGACAAAACTATTTTTCAAGCATAAGAATTCATGCATTTTACTCGTACATCATTACCAGTAAAACTTTTGCCCATTTTTCAATATCTGAATGAATATACACTAGTCTGTTTTCCAGCTTCTTACCAAGGACTGTTTTTGAGAGAGACTGTTTCGAACGGACCACAGGACTGAGATTTCTCTTCTTGAGACAGGAAATGTGTGATCTGTCAGATGTCAGTGGCCCCAGGCTGAGCTCTAAAAAATCACCCAGAGAACACAGGTCTTCTGTGGCAAGAAGAAAAAACTGGACGGATTAAAAAACAGACTAATTTGCTGTTTCTTGCAATTCTTATAGAAGGCATCTTATGGGCCAACGCAATCTAAAAAAACTCTTATTTAACCAGAGGTTCAAAATATTGACAATGCAAATGTGGTAAACATCATACCTGCTAAACGCTGACATGTTTGCATCATCATTGTGAGCGCTTCAGTTCAGTGTGTTAGCATGCTAACCTTTGCTAATTATCACAAAAACAAAGAACAGCTGAGGATTGCCATGAGGTATTTTAAGTGTCCAGTTAATGGATGGAACCTTATGAAAAGTCTGTCGATAACCAGCATTGTCACTCACTCTCTGAGGGGAACATTAATGTCTGAACCAAATTTCCTGATGGTCCAACACTTGTTGAGACATCTGCACCACTTTCAACACTGCACAAGTCTGAACTGCAACCAGTCACATGAACAAAACGGTCATTCCAGCCGATTCACACAGATATCAGGAATTTTCAAAGATCATGTATTTTAAAACATTTTTTTTTTTAAAAATCATGCAATAATTTGTATCTAAACCATGGAACCTTGCAAAATCCTACAATTTTAATCCAAATACTTTTTGAGTTATGACATTTTTGAAAAAAGGCCCTTGCTGTTAAATTTGATAACTTCAGTGAGTCTTTTAAAGCATCTTTAAAGCCTCACCAATTATTTAAGTTTCACAGGATTTGGCTGACTTTGTTACTGAATATCCCAGAAGCCTCAAGAAAAAGTTGGAACTTGTAATCATTCAATAGCTTATGCAGATTTTTTTGAGTTTTTTTTTAATTTTTTTACTGAAATTAATAAAAATCCATTATTTATCATCAAAACAAAAAATCGTTACTTATCTCCACTAATATTCACTCAGGTCCAAGCAAACTGTTGTTGTGGGCAGAAACAACGTAGTTTTTTCATTTGTGCTGCCTCAACAACTGACTGCCACAGGTCTTCCTAAAATTAGCTTCAGAGCTGGAAAATCCACTTTTTAGGACATCAACTGTATTTTTTTTTTTTTTTTCAGGAAGGACTGTTTCAAATTACTTAAAACCTTTTGGAGGGAAAGTCTTTGTACTCCATTAAAAACATATATTTAAAACTAAAGATGTTATATTACTCCTTTATTATTCATTAATTTTCAGTAAATGTGCATTTCTTGCACTCGTATTGCAGCTCAAAAAGCACAGATATTGAACTGGAAAAAAATGGAAGTTTTAAATAGATGGGAAACAAAACCATCACTTGTCTGGGAATAAGAAACTCCAAGTTAGCAACATATTCGCACTGCATGGAGAGCCTACTGAGTTCATGAACAAATTTAATAACTGCACATCAACAGATCAAGGGAGGTCAGTTTTTGAACTAATTGACCTAATTTACTTAAAATTAAATATCTTTATTTTTTTTTAATGTTTTCCTCATCTGGGAGGCCTTCGGGGAGTTGGCATAGAATGACCCCAATTCAAGTGGACTGAAGCAATTTGAAGAAGACGTTCTCCACATTTCTACAGTAAGCAGAAGCAGCCGTCCTCAGGTTGAGTCCAGAGCTCCATCACAGCTGTCAGGACGTCTTACTGTTGGTCATGTAGCAGCTCAATTATCGTCACTCACGGACACAATATTACTGTTTCAGAAATTAAACATAAACTACACTGTTAGATAAGCTGCTATTAGTTCAGACTAATGCCTTATGATGTGTTTTATTTTACTTGATGTACTAAACAGTACCACATGTATTAAAGAGTGTAGCATGACTCTGTCACTGTGGTGGGCATGTGTGAATGGAGCTGTGAGGGACAAAAAAGTAAAAACGACCTACGTCTGAACGACAGAATGCTGCCACCTGAACAGACCGATACAGCAGCAAAGTTCGGCATCCCATGTCTAACAAAGCACTTGAGATTGTCCAAGTCTTTGCATTAGAGACATATTAGTTTGAACCAAAGTCATGGACTGACTGGCTGACCCAACATCACTACGCCCAGAACAATCCTTGACATTTAATGTGATCATCAACCCACAAAACTTACCCTAAATGCACCAATTTCAATTTTAAAATGTTTCATTTAACCAGCAAGCTGCAATTACGCAAGTAGGTCTGCAAACGCCACACACACTGTATAAATCAGCATTGCAATCATAAAAGACAGAATGACATAAAAACTATGTATTTTTGCATTTACCATTTAATGTGGACATCAATAAAAAGATCTGATGTCCAGTCTGCCCTTGTGCTCCCATGACCTACAGTCTGAACAGAAGCCGAACCCTCGCACAAACTGAGCATTCAAAAGCATTCATCTCTGTGTCTGACAGCTCATCGACTCACCTCATCACCCTCCTCTGACATCAGCTTCATCCTCCCTCAGCTCCAGTTCACACACTGCGCACCAGTTGAACAGAGCAGAGACAATGCTCTCTCAAGCAGAGCAGCCCCATGACAGGCGGCTTAGCTGGGATGAAACTGAGGAATGAGTCACGTGACCCTTGTGCTTCTCGTGACCTCACAGGCTCGAAGCAAACAGCATTCAGTGGCACAGAGGAATGTCCATCCGACACACAGTGTTACTCTACACACTTCAGATTACGGTCATGTAGCTGACGGCTCAGCCTCAGGCTGAAATGGAATTACTTCAGCAACAGCAGAACAAACAACCACAAACAAGGAGATTAAAGTTCAACCCTAATATGTCCTGATCACAGCAGGGCTGAGACCAAAGCACTCAGATCTACAATCTATTACAATTTGTACATCACAAATCTAGGGCATCCTGATGGTGTACAGGTTGAATATGGATTCACAATAATGTGACGAGTTGGAACTCTTGTTGCATAAATCCTCACAAAGACAGAAAAAGGTGCAAATGTATGTGTAAAACCACAGAACCTTAATGGCAACATGCTTTTAACTTGGTGCAAGAAATATGTAACAGGCGGGAGTTAATGTGACAACTGCAACATCATAAACAATATTTTCTAACTAATCTGCCAGCTATTTTCTTAGTACCTGAATTCAAATTGCCAGGTTCAATGTTGAATGTCTTTTTTTTTTTTCTTGACAAAAGTTCCAAAGTCAAAAGATTTTAGGTTTACCATCACATATGAGAAAGAAAAGCAATTACTTGTCTCATCTGAAAAGCTGGCACTCACACATTTGGCTTTTTTGCCTAAGAATTAAACAAAAAGTTTCTTAGTATCAAAACAGTCACCACTAACTGTCTGTCGAGGGATAAATCATTTCCTTGAAGAACCAGACACATGATCCTCCCACAATCGGTCATATAATAAACAAATTACAGAATTTGCCATGTAAGAGATGTTAAAACGTGATTATGGACTAATCATTTGTATAATAGGAATTCCAAGCAGGTGAAGGTACGCACTATACAGCACAATGCACCAATATATTACAAGTTATTCTTTACACTCACTTAGCTCTTTATTAGGTACAAGAGTGCAGCTACATGCAATCTGGTACATTGGTTTTGCTATAAAGTCATCTTCTGTGAGCCTTAAATGGCCAGTCAGTCAGGAGATCAAGTCAGAAGTAGTTCTTTTAATACCACTTTTACCAACAAACACTATATATGACATAGAAAAATGACCAATAAATTCTAGAATAATGACACCGTACTTCAATGACAATCTTATGGTTGACTTAAGAAACCTACCTCTCACGTCAGAGCAAGCCAGTGTCACATCAGGATGTGATTTATTTCAATTTGCTACAGAGAACATATGTCAAGTCACGACATTAAAATGAAAGCTCAAATTGATTTTAAACTGGAGTGAGTCTGCTTGTCACAATCACAAACTAGAGATAGATAAGATATATAACTAACCAGGAAGGTGTCAAAAAGACAACGCAGTGAGCGGACAGCTGGGGAGACCAGATAGACTGGCAGACAAGAAGGAGGAGAACACTTTCTCCGGTTTCTCTGGATCAATAAAATCCTTCAGATGCCAGTTGATCACAGCACCATGAGGAGGATTCACAGCTCTAATGTGACCACGTGTTCTCCTCAGGGCTGCTTACACGACCCCGCCTCAGCATGCATTTTAGGGCCAGGCTGATGATTGTGGCTGATATTTGGCATTTTTCCAATTGTTGTACCTGTATTTTTATTGACTGATGACTGATAAACTCAATGTGCTACTTCAGGTCTGAAGCAGCTCCTCTCTCTGTGGTCTCAGAAATGTCCTTCAAGCAGAAACAGCAAAGACTGAACAAGAAACACAAGCCGATGCCACAAATCAGGAAATTAGCTTCTCTCACAATGGCTGAAGCTATGCTAATGGCTAGTGGCTAAGTTAAAATGCAGCCACAAATTACTCTGAAACAAAGTGTGGGAAAAATAATTAGTAAAACATTGAGATATGGACCTAAGTGAGCAATAAAGTGACAGAACAGAGAAAGATGAAGAAAATGGAGAAGAACAGCAGATGTAACTGTCGGAGATAAAACTGATCAATCTCAGTCCACCTGATTGAATTGTTTGTTTCTGTTTTATATATTCAGCTATGAAGAAGCCTGGTTATGAAAGGCCGGTTCCTGCTATCACATGCTGCTAAAACTTTACATTTAATGTTCCATATATCAGTTATTGGCCTTTCTTCAGTGCCAGTGATTTAAATCCCGGAGCTCTTCTGGGTGACACTGAACACAAGAAGAAAATACTTGGTCACCTTTGACCTATAAATACATTAACTTTATCAAGTGTGATCTCAGTCACACAGTCAGATGTGAAAGCAGACCCCAACGGGTGAACCAGAGTGGGCTTTACCACAAAACACAAAAAGGACTGTTCCAGGCACATTTTCAAGACAAAATACAAGATCATCGGGATAAATCACTGTCGACAGCTGAAATGCTACAGCGCTACCACAAGCCACAAACACTAATTATTGAAATAAATAAAACGGACTATCCAAAGTGCAATGTGTAAATGACACTGGGCCTTAAAGCTTTTATTGTGGTACAGCTCCAAGGTGACTGGTTGGTGTGCAGAAGAGTCAGTGATGCCAGTGAGGGGGAGGCAATGTTGCCCTCTGAAATCTCTGTGAGCAACCCTGAGGCCACCCCAGATCTGGTCAAGCTCATTCACAGAAACACTTTTATGTGATCCCAGTGCACACGAAAGCATCATTAGATGCTAACAGCTCTGCTCAGCAGCAGCTAGCCAGCTGTGCAGCAGTCCATGAACATCAGGGAGAACACTCAAGACACAGATTTTGTGCCTTCAGTTGACAACGGTACACACAGAAACCTCAAAGGGTTAACAGGCGCTCAAGTGCAGTTTGTTGCTTCCAGGTGTTTGCAGGAGTCTTTTCTCTGAGTTTATTAAATACCTGCAGCAGGATGTTTAAGCCAAACCATGCTCCTGCTGTACCAAGTGTTTCATTAGTTTTACAGCAGGATATTATATATTACAGCAGGGACATTATTTTGCATATCGATGCTTGATCAAACCTGACCTCTCTGTTCATCAAATTAACGACTAAAACATGACATGGGTTAGATAAATCATCATCACACACAAACAGAATTGAAGGTATTGAACTCATTAATAAACTATGGATGTACAGTGACACATGACCAGAACGGCTGCACCAGCACTGGTCTGTACACACCAGACAGCTGGTAGCACCAGAACATGGGAAATCAGAGCAAGGCTCATGGACAGTGTTTCTGACCTGCTGCTACCAGCTGCTGGGTCCAACACACCTGCTGGGTCTGACGAGCTGCTCAGAACTGGGCAACTTATAGTAACATTTATTTAAGTATTGAAACGTATTGGGCTGGAAACGCGCAGGACGTTTCTCAACATTCGTTTAAACAGACGTCGTCTTTTCATCAGTATGCTAGCGTGTTAATGACACCGTTCATGTTTGAAAGAGCTGAAGACAGGTGGCAGTAAAGGTTAACAGCTAGTTAGTTACATGAATAGCTAACTATGTGAGTATTCTCTGTCAGAAACAGAGGACAAAAACAGAAACAACAGCGATGAGAAACAGCTAACTAGCTAGCTAAAAACAACAAGCTACAGTGCAGATGGTAGCCTAGCAGCTAGCATTTGCTGCGCTGGGTTAGCGTTAGCTTTATAGCATACTAGCATAGCGACCAGTAGCCAGCCTTGACACCAGCACCAGAAGCAGACAGCGGCTTTACCTGCTAACAGCGAGTCTCCTGGTCATCCAGGCTTTGGCATGGCAGTGGCACACACCTGCAGTAGCCTGTCAGCAGCCGTTCACCGGATCATCTGGCTAACCAGCTGCCGGAGCTGAACCTCTGGTCTGGATAGCAGACCTCCAGAGGAACCGCGGGTGTCCGGAGTGACTCCGCTCACCGAGCAGGAAGTGGAGGGTTGATCCAGCAGGCTGTCGGGGAGCAGGACGAGCTGCTGCTCCACGGACCTCCACCGGACCAGCTGGAAACATGTGCTTTTATTCAACGTTAAGCTGCACAGTGATAGCTCTAATGTGATTCCACAAATTTTCTGTTGAACTTTTTATGTGTATATATGTTTAAAGGTGTTTTTCTTACTCACATCATGTCATCTGTCTATCCGACAGCCTGGTCTGTACACCTGAGAGGGTTGTAAAGATTGTAGCTCCGAGGTTAATTGGAAAAAGACCATGTCTTCATTTTCTATTATAAACCCTGTGTGTAAATCATGTTATTTAAATTCTAACAGGTTTTTAGATGTCCAGCCCGAACACTGTAAACAGTACTATACAGGTGCAGCTCAAAAGAGCGTTTTTATTTTTGTAATTTAAATCAAAAAGTTTCAATTTCATGTATTTTATATTCATTCCACTTACATTTCAAGCCTTTTTTGTTTTCATTTTGATGACTATGACTTACAGCTTATGAAAATCTGAAATCTTGTATCACAAGTTTTTAGACTATCTCCCTAGATTAAAAAAAATAAAAAAATTAAAAGTATAACACAGTAATGTCTAACTACTGATATTTGGACACTCAGTCCTTGGTTGGGGCTCCTTGACCACGAGTTACTGCATCAGTGCAGCATGGCATGGAGCTGGTCACCCTGTGTCCCTGCTCAGGTGTTATTGAAGCCCAGATTGCTTTGATAGGGGTCTTCAGCTCATCTGTATTTTTGGGTCCAGTGTTTCTCATCTTCCTCTTGACAATGAACCATATGGGGTTCTCTGGGATCCAGGTCAGGTGAGTCGGCCGGCCGGTTAAACAGTAATATCATGGTCAACAAACCATTTGGTAATAGTTTAATAATCTGTGGGCAGGTGCTAAGTCCTGCTGGGAAAGGAAATCAGCTTCTCCATAAAGCTTGTCAGCAGATGAAAGCAGGAAGTGCTCTAAAATCTCCAGGTAGACGGCTGCGCTGGTAAAACCCAGTGGACCAACACCAGCAGATGATGTGGCATCCTAAATCATCAGACTGAGGAACTTCACACTGGACTTCAAACACCTTAGATTCTGCCTCTCCACTCTTCCTCCAGGCTCTAGGACCTTGATGTCCAAATGAAATGCAAAATTTACTTTCATTTGGAAAGAGGACTTTAGAGCAGTGAGCAATAGTCCAGTTGTTTTTCTTCTTAGCCCCGGTAAGACGCTTCTGAAGTTGTCTCTGGTTCAGGAGTGTCTTGATATTAGGTTGTAGCTCT